TATGTATGTATGTATGTATGTATATATGTATGTATGTATGTATGTATGTATATATGTATGTATGTATGTATGTATGTATGTATGTATATATGTATGTATGTATGTATATATATATGTATGTATGTATGTATGTATGTATATATGTATATCATATATCATTTAAAAACTGCATTTTGTGTTTACTTGTGTTATCTTTGTCTAATATTTAAATTTGTTTGATGATCTGAAACATTTAAGTGTGACAAACATGCAAAAAAATAAGAAATCAGGAAGGGGCAAACACTTTTTCACACAACTGTATGTGTGTGTGTGTGTGTGTGTGTGTGTGTGTGTGTGTGTGTGTGTGTGTGTGTGTGTGTGTGTGTGTGTGTGTGTGTGTGTATACATACATACATACATACATACATACATACATACACACACCAGTGGTGGGCCTGCAAGGCCTTCTCTGCTGGCCTAAACAGAATCACAAAGCTATATCTATTTTATAATTTAATATTTTTTCTTAAATACACTACATGTATTATAATTTATAAAAATATTTTCCCATTTTCTCATTGCACAGCTACTGTCTTCCTCAGTTGCTCTGCTTCCAGTGCAGCTTGTTTTAAGTAGAGATTTTATCCAATCAGATTTCACCTCTGTGTCTCTCGGTAAGAACAGAGCCAGAGGCCTGCACACTCTCACCTGCAGCCAGTGCAGATTAAAGTGAATGGGGACGATATTGTTGATTGTCAGTGTTCAACCAATCAGATCTTTAGTTTGACATGTTGGGCGTATTTTTTGACTATCAGAGCCTGCGCGCCGGCCTATAATGACGTCGGCATTACATGCCGCTCAGTGTCCATGTGTAGCTTTCCCGCGAGGTACAGAGTGTGCAGTGATTGGTCAGTGGGCGAGCACGTGACTATCGTGAAATGAAACTTAACAGCAGAGGCTGATGGGTAGTGAATCACATCACGTGATGCAGCTCAGCCAATCAAAATGCATTCTGACTGAGTGAGATGCACCATGAGAGAGGGTGCTGAGACGAGGAAAGACATTGCAGAGCAGTACGTTCAAGTTGTGAAAGTAAAATCCTATAATAATCTCTTTGGTTCGCGGCTTGTCATTAAGGAATGACGGTGGATCCCACAGCCAGACCAGCTGAGAACATTATATTTTCCTGAATTTAGGCTTTTGTATTTTCTAAATTCTCCAGCATTATTCAAACGACTCGTACCGAACGGTTTAATAGGAAGACGTACATAGTTACAGCATTCAAAATTAATAATAGCTGTGGTGCCATCATGTGGTTATAAGGTGGTATTTCAGCTGCAGGACAGCAGTGAAGGCCCAGGTATAAAATGCACGGCCCGCCACTGATATATACACTTTTTTTTGGATATATATTTATACTTATATTGTATATAGCTGTTAAATGTTTATACCTACATCTGTTCTACTTTTTTGCTGCCCTGTTTTATTCTTTATATATTTTTTCTTGTTTATTGTAAAATAGTGTTTGTACATTGAGAGCGGAGTGGAAACCGGAGACAAATTCCATGTATGCGTACGCATGATTCTGATTCTGATTCTCCGCTCATCTCGCCACCACAGAGTGCTGTCTTATTGATGGCTTAGAAGTGCTTGTGAAAGCTAATGAAAGCTTAGAAGTTACTTCTAAGCTGTCACATCAGTCAGATGCAGACAGTGGGCCATGTTGTTCTCACCAGAAGTCTCTCTCTCTCTCTCTCTCTCTCTCTCTCTCTCTCTCTCTCTCTCTCTATCTTTTGTAAAGGTATCACTCTTTTTCACATACATTTTCATCACTTCCCTTAAATTCTTTCTTGTTACTCCCACCCTTGAGGCCACTTTCCTTCAATGATAAATGGCAATTTTGTGTTGTGAATGATGAATGTGCGACGAGGAAAATTATGAAACATGGCTCTGTTTTTAATATCAAAACTCATCAATTACATTATTATCAATTGATTTTTTTTAACTTTTTCCCCTCATAAGATCCAACTTTCTCTGGTCCGATAGCGATACCTGGGATTTGGGTATCGGCTGGTACCGATCCAATAGCAGTTGAGCTCGATGCCTCACTGTGTGGACGTGACTGGGGATCATTCTTTTATGTGTGAGGTAACATCAGACTTGACTTAAACTTTGCTTTCTTAACTCCATAAAACAATATAACAAACTAGAAAATTTCGCAAAAAGTTTGACAGTGTGGCTTCTACTGCCCGAAGACGTCGCAATATATATACACGGCAATGTTACCGGTAGTGTCGTTCAGGTTCAATTGAGATAGCGCTACTCTATTTTCTGCATTTTAGATTCATACTCTTGGATTGAATCTTGTATTCGTGATGGACAGTCCACAAATGGCTCCCTTTCATTTCTGTACTGGACATATACATATTTGTTTGAGAAGCCTTTGGAAATTATGGGAGCTGACGCTCATTCTGAGCTTCATGTTAAGATACAGTTACTCTATTGGGCTTTTATTTTGAAAGGGTGGGACTGGGTGGGTGAGAGAGGGGGAGAGGAGACATATTCATGTTTGACACACAAACACAGAGGTTATTAAATGGCAGGCTTCATCACAAGAATTCCAGTTAGAATTCACTCTCTGGGGCTTTTATTTTGAAATGGGAGAGGGTGGGGGGGTTCTCTAAATATATCTAAAACCAGAATGGCTGTATGATAGAGAGAGAGAGAGAGAGAGAGAGAGAAAGAGAGCCTTCATGCATGTGTAACTGGTTGCCATGGCGAGGACGCACCTGGTGTTAGAGGCAGACTGATTACGAAACTTTACAGTAAACAGTGATTTTGAACAAAACCCCTTCCTCCTTTTAACAAAAAGTCTGAGTGCCAAAATATGGATACCGTGAGAAAGATAAGACTCTGCCGAACGTGCTGATGTGTTTTTTATGTTTGTGGTGTTAATAATGTGAGCTCCAGAGCAATAGACAAAACTGGTACCGTCTGCTTTCTTTGAGAAATTAGTGGTCAGATTTAACATGAAGTCTAATGGATTAGTTGGTTGGAGTTCATGTCGCTCTGCGGCTCTTTGAGCCAACTTTTCGATGAAGATTAGTATTACTATTATTATTAAGCCCGCAGGATTACAGTCAGTGTGCTTTGGCACAGGCAGTCCTTGTGCCACAAAGCCACACTGAATAAATACCTAAATGTAAATGTACTGAATTGTTATTTACCAAAATGATAGGATCCGATACCAGATTGACCCATAGTCCCCGATACCTGATCCTTTTGAGGCAGTGTCGGACCGATCTCCGATACTAGTAGCAGTGCATCTCTTATTATTTTATTATGTTATTTTAAACAGTCTATTGTTGCACACATTATAACATTGTATTTATTGTATTAAGTATTTTTTATGATTACTAAATGATTTGTAACCCTTTAAGAAATCGATTGTAAAATATCTAGCAACACTATGGACCAGATATTTGCATCCCTATTATTGCTAATGAATGGTTTATAACGTTAAAATAACACAATTTATAGCATCTCTAATCATTTCATTAGTTAGAATGTCATTGTTTAAGTATAATTAGCTATCAATTGACCATGTTATGTTTAAGGAAGGTGTGATCCTAACCAATATCTGTGTGGAGGGGTTAAATCATGTGCCTGTCCAATAACGTATCAATCTCATTTGCAGCAGATAGACTGCTCTCCTGACCATGTCCTCGTCTGTCTTCCTCTGCAGTTATAAGGGGGAGGGGGTTGTCAGTGGCAGCCCAGAGAGAGTGTGGCAGTGTCTCAAACCAGTACCCAATGGGCTCCGAGTCAAGTGGGACAATAATGTCAAAAAGTTTGAGCTTTTGGAACAAATCACAGAGGTGTGTTACTAATTTCTCTCTTCTGATTACAGGATGTTTTGTCATGACCATTCTGTATATGTTAACCCAGGTTTCAGTCCATACAGTAGTCACATTTCTTTAGATTTTAAAGTGTAATATATGGTGAAGCATTGTTTTTCATTTACTCACTATAATAAATGTAGTGAAGTAAAAAAAAAAACATTTCCTTCTGAAATGCAATGGAGTAGAAAGTAGCATCTAAAAATGTAGGAAAGTACGGTACTTGAGTAAATGTACTTAGTTACATTCCATCGCTGATTACCATCATGCTTTACCAAAAAAGAGTGCAGTGGAAGTCCTACTACACTGCAAACAGTGTCTAGCCATAAACTGGCAGAAGAGGTCGTTGATTTACCCCGGTGTGGATATGAGTTTGGTCGCCATGAGAGCAAAGCTGTCTCACGCCAAGCGGGATGCGCTGAACTCTTTGTTGTCCCACATTGTGCCTACAGAGTGGTGATGGTGCTGTTAGTGATGCGCCCTCTAGGCACGATGTCCACAAACCGTATGGTTGACCCCTGGGACTCCTCCAAACGAGAAAGATGTCGTCGTTTGGGGCCCTGCGCCTCAATCCAGTTTGGCACCAAAGGTGAATGGTGACTCCCTCCCTTAATGCACTCAGACCTGGCATACTGTGGTTTTCCCTGGGACAGTGACGTCACACATATCGGTGTGCGCAGACGGGTCCCTCTCTGGATGGATGGGATGTGTTTCATGTTGTGAGGAAAATGTGGAATCCTCCATCCCTCTATGTAATCTGTCTGGAGCTATCCACAGTGCTAAAAGTACAGAACCGCTTTGTTTCAAACAGACATGGTGAGGACAGGAAATATGACAGCGGCAGCACATATCAACAAACGGTGCAGGTGTTCAGCATGGCTGCTGGAAATAGCCAGGAGCCTGCTACTTTGGTGGCTCACACAGAGACACCTACCACCATGTATGATGTATACCACTCTGCAGACCTAACGTCTCAGAGGTTCATCCCACAACCAGTGTAAATTGAGTCTCATGTTCATTTAGATATTGTGGATCTCATGTCATGTCCCACGCCTATCATGTTAACATACCTTCAAACCTTGGTAGATAACTGTTTGGCCCATCTACAGCTGAAGTGTATGCTGCAGCCATATCTGTCAGCCACGGAGGGTACGAAGGGAGAATTGTTTTTGCTGAGATGACAGTCTCTGACTTCTGTAGCTCCACGTTATTTTTGCTGCGATGAGTAAAGAATGGGGGCAAAACGCCGCTCGCCAAGTGCTTTGCCAAAGTTCATCCCACCTTTCAATTGGAGATGACGTGGTGGTGGCTCAGTCAAAACAGCGTCTGTCTCACTGGCTGCGTGACACCATCACATAAGCAAACAGTGTCACGGGAGTGGAACCTTTGCAGAGTGTTTTATCCTCTTACATGGCCCACCTCAGAGGGATGACCGAGGCAGTGGCATTCTGGGTTTCTGCGCGTCCTTCATCCATTTCTACTCATCCTCATTCTGTGTTAAATATGCTGAGACAGCAGATGATATGTTGCCCGGTGTGGTAATTTTACGCACATGTCGAACAGTGCGCTCATCATCGATTAGTGGGCTGCGTGGACTCCATTATAAGACAGTCTTTGTCCCACTCTTCTACAGCGGCAGTGCTGTATATAGAGAGTGTAACACATTGTTTCACCACACAAGCTGACGTGGTGTTAACTGTGGCACAGTCAGTGAAATGCTGTATGTTGTCTTCTTGTGGACCTTGGTGTCGCAGTGACTACATCAGCTTTGCCCTTAACCCAATAGCTACAGCTCCAAACAGATCCACATACTTAAGAAAAAGAAAAGACAGAAAATGTAGCCCGGTCCAGCTTTAATTGCATACATGTGATACGAGAGTTGTTACTCATTTGCTTTTGCTTTGTTCGACCCAGTCTTTGAGACCATTCCCTTGTCTCCCTCTCTCTCCAGGACATCTCTATCTGCCGAACAGTCACGCCCTCAGCAGCTATGGGTATCATAGCTCCACGAGACTTTGTAGATGTTATTTTAGTGAAGCAATACGAAGATGGCACCATTTCATCAAATGGTGCGTAGCGACTCATTCCTGTCTCATCTACTTCCTGTTTGTTTCCTTTGTACTTCCTGAGATTCATTGTGCCATGCAGCAGAGGCTGGACTGTTTTACCTGTGGAAGTGACTGTGACAAGGCTGTATGAGATTTAACTATGTTGCAGATACACTACAAACATGAACAGAATAAATACATTAAATGTCACACATTAAGGATGGACAGATTAATAGGAACTCAAGAATTAAACCTGCATTCACACTGTAGGAACCTAGTTCAAGTCTTAAGTTAGTACTTATTGATAAGTCTGCTGTACTAAATGAACCAGGGTTTATACACAGATAAAAAATATATACATGTATAAAAAAATGAATTAGCCCTGCGGTATGAAATTTGACTGACTGGTAGAGCTTAGAGATGCTGATCACACAAATCTGTTTCACATTTCCAATGCTTTACCAGTCACATTTCCACATGTGTGCTTCTGGCTCATGGTAGTAATACACCTTAAAAACATTTGGAACAACTAACTTCATCAGACACTGATCATGTTGTAGTTCATTCCCATCAAGCTGCTCAGAGTAATCTGAGTAAAGCTCTGCTACAGTGTTGGTTCATTTGGTGTTGCTCCAAAATGATTTTGGTAAAAGCATGGCTATAATCAGCCATGTACAGACAAAAGACAACCTATTACTTTAAGGGTCACTGCAGGTGAATATGATGTTAGCTAATACTTATCACCATGAAACTTCCCCAGTTGATTACTTGCATTAAGACAATTGTTTTTTGTATTGCAACTTTTCTGAAACGTTATGTTTAAATACTCATGTAAACATGTACTTTGGATGTTTTCTTTCCACTAGTCTGAAAGTAGCCAAATAGCCCAAAGTCTCAAAATGTGATCTGTGCATAAAGTTTTTTTGTGTCTGGAGTGTCTCATTTTAATGGAAAGGAAATTCTACAGGCACTCTGTTTAGTTTTGGTTGAGAGCCACAGATCTCACAATATCAGCATAATGTAGACAAATGTGTATGTGCATGTGTGTTTTGTCAAACAGCCACCAACGTGAGTCACCCGGGCTGTCCGCCCCAGTCTGGCTACGTGAGAGGACTTAACCATCCATGTGGTTGCATCTGTGTCCCCATCTCAGGGTGAGTACACTGACACCAAGCAAGTACAGTGTGTGGTTTGTTCCTCTCCGCTGTAGGACACATTTTCTCTTGTTCTCTCAGAATAGAGAAACGAGAGTGTCGGAAAGCTGAGCGCAGGTGGCAAAAAACAAATCTCCACGTTCACTGTGACATCTATAAAGAGAGACTTCGCAATTATAATTTGGAACTTAGAAATGCAATCTTCTCTGGCATCATAACCAAAAACAATAACAATACACGCGCCTTATTGGCTGCCGTCGACAGGCTAACAAACCCTTGAGTGTCAGTAGCTGCTGAGCTCCAATCCACCTCAATTTGCCTCCCTTTTTACTGACAAAATTCAGTAAATTAGACAAGCAGTCAGTGCCTCCACACCAACCACAGGATATGTGTTGTCCCCTTCTCTGAATAACATCCATTCAAATATCATGACACAATTTCATTCAATCGACCGTAGAAGCCTAGAAGACATTATACAACATCTGAAGTCATACTCCTGCTGCTTGGATATTCTACCAACACACTTTTCCAAAAATATTTCAAACTGCATGACCACTGATCTTTTACAAATTGTAAACACATCCCTTCTTTCAGGTGTCTTCCCACAAGCCCTAAAAACTGCAGTTATTAAACCGCTCCTAAAGAAGGCTAGTTTAGACTCCGCAACAATGAAAAATTCTAGGCCAATATCAAACCTCCCATTTTTAAGTAAAATAATTGAAAAACCGGTTTTTCAACAGCTGAACAACTTCTTGGCCATAAATAACTGCTTTGATGTCTTCCAGTCAGGCTTTCAACAGCACCACAGTACTGAAACTGCTCTTGTTAAGGTTTTCAACAACATCCACTTAAACACAGACAATGGCAGAAGTTCAGTCTTAGTATTACTGGATCTCAGTGCTGCATTCAACACGGTCGACCATGCCATACTACTAGAAAGACTAAAAATCTGGGTGGGACTCTCTGGCACAGCGCTTAACTGGTTTGAATCCTACTTGAAGGACAGAGAATACTTTGTGTCTGTAGCTAATTACACATCAGAGCTGACTAAAATGACATGTGGTGTTCCCCAAGGTTCAATACTGAGGCCTCTTCTGTTCAACATCTATATGCTTCCACTAGCTCAGATTATGGAAAACAACAAAGTGTGTTATCATAATTATGCAGACGACACACAAATCTACATAACTATATCACCAGGGGACTATAATCCCATAAAAGGGCTGGGTCACTGCATTGAACAAATCAACAACTGGATGTGCTAGAATGTTCTTCAATTAAACAAAGATAAAACAGAAGTAATTGTTTTTGGTACCAAGGACGAACGATTGAAAGTCAGCGCTCAGCTTCAATCACTGATGTTAAAACCCACAAACTAAGCCAGAAATCTAGGTGTAGTTATGGATTCAGACCTCAACCTGAACAGCCATATCAAGACAATTACATAATCAGCTTCCTATCACCTGAAGAATATATCAAGGATTAGAGGTCTTATGTCTCAACAGGATTTGGAAAAACTTGTCCATGCATTTATCTTCAGTAGACTGGACTACTGTAACGGTGTGTTTACAGGTCTCTGTAAAAAGTCAATCTGAAAGCTGCAGCTGATTCAGAACGCTGCAGCTCGAGTCCTCACTAAGACCAAGAAAGTGGATCACATCACTCCAGTTCTGAGGTCTTTGCACTGGCTTCCTGTCCAGCAAAGACTAGACTTTAAAATCCTGCTCCTGGTTTATAAAGCACTGAATGGTTTAGGGCCAAAACACATCTCTGATTTGCTGCTACCTTATGAACCATCCCGACCCCTTAGGTCGTCTGGGACCGGTCTACTTTCTGTTCCCAGAGTCAGAACTAAACATGGAGAAGCAGCGTTCAGTTGTTCTGCTTCACATATCTGGAACAAAGTCCCAGAAAGCTGCAGGTCTGCTGAGACCCTCAGCTAATTTAAATCAAGATTGTTTGCTGCTGCCTTTAATTGAACCACATTCAAGGATATTAATCAATTTCTGCATTTTACTATACTACTGTATTTTATTTCTTACACTGCTTTTTAGTGTTTTAATGACTGTTTTTAATGTTTCAATCAATGTTCTTAAATCTCATTTTCTTTTGCCTTATGTTTTGATGCTTTTAATGGTTTTATGTGAAGCACTTTGAATTACCTTGTTGTTGAAATGTGCTATACAAATAAACTTGCCTTGCCTTGTTTCTTCTAGAGAGCCCAACAAAACCCAGGTGTTCAGCTTCTTCCAGACGGACCTGGGTGGCTTCCTCCCTCGCTCCGTGGTCGACTCCTTCTTCCCCTCCAGCATGGCTGAGTTCTACAGCAACCTGGCCAAGGCTGTCAAATCTCTCAAGGACCTTTGACACTAAGAGTTGAGACATGTACCTTCAAACCTGAGCCCTACTACTGGTCAGGTTTGTTGTATTTTAAACAGTCCAAACTCAACAGCAATCAGCACACTGAGATCGCTGACTTCAAATAGAACCAACCCACGATTTTTGTTTCTACATTCCTATAGTCCTGTGTTGCTGCAGGAGGAATCCAGTGAATCTTCAACAGTCAACCCTCTTATTGAAAGCAGTTCACGCACTGAGATGTCCCAAAATCAGAATGAGGGCTTGCATTTGACTAAACCTGCATTTCAAACTCCAGTCTCTTTACATCCCCATCAGTGGGATGAATTCCTTTCCTTCAGTCTGAAGAATGAATATAGAAGTAATAATCTATATTTGTACATGTGTTTAATGATAGAACATGTGTGCTTTTTACCACGCTGATGAGACACCAGACATTTCCTCTTCTTATTATCGCATACTTCAGTGTGTACAGTAAGCATGCATGTTGCATGGACCTTATTTACCCTCTGCTGGTATCAGGTTGTTGGTTTGGAGTTTTGGCTCATACCTCACATTTAGTTGTTTCTGTTGTACTTGAACTGCCATTTGCTCATCTCCTACTCACCTGTTAACCGTGATTATCTGCCTCTTTAATCCGTCACACTGAAGCACAGGTGGGGGAATAAGGTGTGTTTTATGCTGCTCTATTGAGCAGAAAAAAGTGTCTTCTTTTTTTCATGGCATCAGTTTGCAAGTACATTTCCCTTTTTCTTTTTCTTCATATACAGTCCCTGAAACTCCTCATGCAGAGTCAAGATTAGAACCCTACCAGCTGACTAACTGGGCTCACAAAAGTGGTCACCAGCTGACACGAGAACTTTCATAATAAAAGGCATGTGGTGTGGTCACATGTTTTAAGATACAATAAGATAAAACTGTTATGTAAAATAATAACACTACACTATAAGCTGCTTTTTTCAAGACATCAGGCTGCTTTCAGTAGTTGTACTGTAAAAGTGAGTACTATCACTAAGATGAAACTATTCCAAGGCATAATTATGAGCAATGCAAGGACTCAAGATCAGACAGACATAAGTCAAAAGTAACCTGGCAGAAATGTATTGGAAATGTTGTAAAGAAGACTTGTTTATTGTATAGAGATGTCTCAATAATATCTGTGCTGCCCTCAGTATATGTGCTGTGATACATATACACAAAAATAATCATCTGCGATCATAAGTAACAATAAAAAAAATCAATACATACCAATGATGCTATCAAAAGGCATAAGATGCAGGCAGACTCAACTGGATTGGAAAACTACCGAAAACAGCGGCTCTGAGCCCACGCTCTTCCTTCACTTCCTGATTATAAGTCACCTGACAAGTTACAGGACACTTCCTGTTTCAAAATAAAACGTATAACATACTGACTTAACAATTGTAACAAAACACTCCCCGCCTGGCGTGAATACATGCCACTCAATAAATCCTAGACAGTTCACTTCACTGGGCCTCCGGGGGGAGAAGAAGCACTACCTCAGAGACAGGCCTAAGAAAGAGTTTAGTCACTCCTGTTCGTGTGACCTTGATCTCGACCTTTCGCACCTTCCCGTCTTCGCTGGGGAAGGTCTGTGTTACCAGTCCAAGAGGCCATTCATTCCTTGGTACTTGGCTATCCTTGAGGAGAACAACACTTCCTGGGTTGATGTTCGGATGAGTAGACTGCCACTTCTTGCGTGCCTGTAGTGTTGGGAGGAATTGCTTTCGCCATCTGTCCCAGAAGGTGTTAGACAGGTGCTGGACCTGCCGCCACTGGTGCTTGTAGAGGTCTGAAACTCCAAACTCTCCAGTAGGAGCAGAAAGGACATTCACTTTTTGAGTGAGAAGAGCAGCTGGAGTGAGTATAAATGAGTCCTCAGAGTCAGTTGTCACAGGAACAAGAGGCCTGCCATTTATAATGGCTGTCACTTCTGCCATGAAAGTCACCAGCACCTCATGGGTAAGTTTGTCCTTCAGCTGAAGGAACATGGAGTCCAAGATTCTCCTTGCAAGACCAATCATTCTTTCCCATGTACCGCCAAAATGAGAGGCGTGCGGAGGGTTAAAGGTCCAAGAGCAACCTTGGCCTGACAGGTAAGACTTCACAGTTGTGTTGTCAATGTTTGAGGGCATCTTCAACTGCTTGCAGGCACCAACAAAGTTGGTGCCACGGTCTGAGCGGATGTGTTTGACAGGACCGCGCACAACAAGAAAGCGCCTTAGTGCGTTGATGAAGCTGGATGTGTCAAGGGACTCTATGACTTCAATATGAACCGCTCGTACGCTCATACACGTGAAGATTACGGCCCATCGTTTACTGTGTGAATGGCCTCCTCTTGTTCTACGTGAAGAGACACTCCAAGGGCCGAACACATCAAGCCCGACATTTGTAAAAGGAGGTTCTGTCGAGAGACGATCCGCTGGAAGACTGGCCATCTTTTGAATTGTAAGTGGGGCTCTAAGCCTTCTGCAGGTTATACACTGGTGGATGATGTTGCTCACTTTTCTTTTTGCCACCAACTATCCAAAAACCAGCTGTACGGACAGCCCCTTCTGTAAACAGACGGCCTTGGTGATAGATTTGTTCGTGGTGATGCTTGATGAGTAAGGTTGCAACCTGATGTTTGCCAGGAATAATCACTGGAGTCTTTTCACTCTGATCAAGGTTTGCATTGTGGAGGCGGCCTCCGACTCTCAGAAGGCAGTGTGCATCAATGAAAGGATCCAGATTTTTGAGAGAACTACTTTTAGGAATCTGCTCATGTTTTTGGATACATTTGATCTCTTGACTGTAGACTTCCTCCTGTACTGCTTGAATGATGATGTGCGACACTTGATCAGACTCAACAGTGTATCCTGTTTTGCAGTGATGCCAGCCCTTACAAGGGCTGTTCTTCAAGGTCATGTTGAAAAGACGGGCTATGTGTATGAGGCGAATAATGGCCCGAGATAGAGACTTCCAGGATGAGAACTTCGAGAATCGTTGAGAACCAAGCTGCTTGGATGTTGTTGTAGTACTCAAAGTGGACACCAGAGGGCGAATGTCTGGGTCTGAACCCGGGTCTACAAGCTCGTAGGTGCTCTTTGAGGCACTTGTCTCTGGTGTGTACAGAGATTTGGGTCCACTCAGCCAGTTTGTGTCGTTCAAACGGCCTGCAGCGACAGAACGTGTAGCGTGGTCCGCAGGGTTCTGTTCTGTTGACACGTAGCGCCATTGATCTGGGTGAGAGGACCTTCGGATACGTAATACCCGGTTACTTACATATACATAAAAGCGCCTGGTTTCATTAGAAATGTAGCCAAGGACTACCTTGCTGTCTGAGTGGAAGGTTGTTTCATCGAGCTGAAGGTCTAGTTCTGCTAAGATTAAGTCTGCTAACTCCACTCCAAGCACTGCTGCGCAAAGTTCCAGTCTTGGAATTGTTTGCTCAGGACGGGGGGTCAGCTTGGCTTTGCCCATTACAAATCCCACATGGTTATTTCCAGCACAGTCAGTTACTTTTAGATATGCCACAGCGGCAATAGCTTTCGTGGATGCGTCAGAAAAGACGCACAATTCCCTTCTGACAGCTGCTGGCGGCGAAGTTGTAGTGTAGGTTCTGGGAATAGAAAGCTGGGACAGTTCTTTCAAAGATGCTCTCCAAGATGTCCATGCTTCCTCCATTTCTTGGGGCAAAGGCGAGTCCCAGTCACCTTTCTCAATTGTGAGTTCTCTCAGAATAGCCTTACCTTGTATTGTGACTGGCGCTACAAACCCTAGATGATCATAGAGGCTGTTGATTGTGGACAAGATACCCCGTCGAGTGTAGGGTTTTATCTCCTCAGAGATGCTGAAGTGGAAGCAGTCGGTCTGGAGGTCCCAATTGATTCCAAGGCTACGTTGCATCGGCAGCGCATCTGCACTGAGGTCCAGGTCTTTAAGGTCTTTTGCACGATCTTCGGCCGGAAAGGCCTCCATGACCTCCTTGTTGTTTGCTGCGATCTTGTGCAGCCTTAAGTTTGATTTGGAGAGAACTTCCTATGTTTTTTTTCAGCAGGTTGACCGCAGCTTCGACTGTGGGCAGGGACTTCAACCCATCGTCGACATAGAAGTCACGCATCACAAAACGTTGGACGTCAGGGTCGATGTGGAGCTCACTGACCTGAACAGACTGGTGAAGTCCATGAATCGCTACTGCGGGTGAAGGACTATTTCCAAAGACGTGGACCGTCATTCGATACTCCACAATGTCTTTGGAGGGGTTGTTATCTTGGAACCATAGAAAACGAAGGAAGTTCCTATCGTCTTCCCTTACTGAGAAACAATAGAACATCTGTTCTATGTGTGTTGTAAAGGCGATTGCTTCCTTTCTAAAGCGCATCAGTACACCGAGCAGCGTGTTGTTCAGATCAGGCCCAGTCAACAGCACGTCGTTGAGCGACACACCGTTGTACTGGGCGCTGGAATCGAAGACCACTCGTATTTGTTTTGGTTTTCTTGGATGGTACACACCAAATATTGGCAAGTACCACTGTTGTTCATCCTCACTGGGAAGAGGAGCTAACTCAGCGTGACCATTCTTGAACATCTTGTCCATGAAAATGAGAAAGTGGTCTCTCATTTCAGGCTTCCTTTCAAAGTTGCGCCTGAGCGACTTGAGACGGTTCAATGCTTGTGGCCTGTTATTGGGGAGCCGTTGACATGGGCATTTAAAAGGTAATGGAGCTACCCAACTGTTGTTTGCATCTTTTGTTAGTCCTTCTTTCATTATTTTCATGAAGGAGATGTCTTGGATAGACGGAGCAATGTTGTTGTCGTCTTTGGTCTGCTTGAATATGTTATGTCCTAAGCTGTCAACATCACAGTTTGATATCTCCTCAGGATGTGTTTGGAGGTGGTTTGTGGCCTGGGTGTCACTGTATTTTTCCTTTACACAGAACACGTTAGGACACGGGTCAAAGAGAGTAGGGCGTCCCCGTTCCGTGGTGATCGCGTAGAAGGCGCTGACTGTCGGTGGTTTGTGAACGCGACCTAAACATACGTTACCCATGATGACCCATCCCAGATCCAACTTCTGAGCATAAGGTAGGTTGTGTGGGCCATTGACCTGTTTGCGGACCTTATGGACTCTGATAATATCCCGACCTAAGAGAAGCATAATTGGGGCCTGTGGGTCGATATCTGGGATGAGGTGTGCAACTGACTTTAGGTGTGCGTGATGAAAAGCTGCATTGGGAGTTGGAATCTCATCTCTGTTATTTGGAATGTCATCACATTCTATGAGGCTGGGTAGTGGGATGCTGACGGTCCTATCCAAAGATTCCACAATGTAGCCACTGGCCCTTCTTCCTGTCGCTTTCTTTACTCCAGCACATGTTTTCAATGAGTAAGGAGCACTTGGACTTTGGTCGTTGAAGACTTCAAAGAACTGTGAACGAACTAGTGATCTGTTGCTCTGTTCGTCCAGAATCACATACATCTTCACAGCTTTGTCAGCGTGGCCGGCTGGATACACTTTCACGAGGGATACTTTAGAGCAGGATCGGTCCGTCACGTCTCCGCCACAGACATCTGTACATTTGGTGGTGACATGGGGTTGTGGAGAGCTATCCTCCTCCCCGCCATGCTCTGGAGCCGAGTCCGTGCCTTCAACCCAGGGTGCAGGTCCAGGGTGAAGCGCTGTGTGATGTTTCTCACTTTTACATTCATAACATCGAACATTAAATGTGCAGTTCCTTGCAATGTGTGATGATGAAGCACAGCATTTGAAACAGACAGTATTCTCTTTTAAGAATGTCTTACGGTCTTCGATGGGCTTTTCTCTGAATGCACGGCATTTGCGTATAGGGTGAGGTTTTTTGTGGATTGGACACAATTTGTCACAGTCATCGAATTTCGTTGAGGGCTCCCTAGGATCAGAGATGGCTTTTGGAAATATCTCTGTTTTGTGAACAGAGACTTCTCGCTGTCTGTTTGGCTTCCAAGCTGTTTTTTCTGTCCTGGGAGACATGTCTAAGTGAGAGACAAAGTTGAAACTTGGGTCATTTTTGACAATAGCTTCATGGCTAACAAAGTTTACGAAGCAGGCAAAGGGGGGATATGAAACGTGATATTGCCGCTTGTAGGATGCCCCAACTGACGCCCACTTTTCCTGCAGACCGAAGGGGAGCTTCAGTACAATTGGGTTGACGCCTCTCTCTGTATCGAGGAAAGAGAGGCCGGGCAGATCTCCTTCAGCTTTGGCTGACTCTAGTTCCATTAAAAGATCACTCAACTTTGTTAGTTTAGAATAATCTCGGTGTGTTATTTTTGGAAAGGCGTCGATACGTTTGAACAGAGCGTCTTCTATTACTTCTGCGGAGCCATAAGTTTGTTCAAGTCTGTCCCATATCATAATCAAGCCTGCTGATGGATGATTGATGTGTATTGCTCTTATGTGCTCGACGTGTTCTGCTGACTCTTTGCCGAGCCACTTAAACAGGAGATCCATTTCTTCGCTTGGTGCCAGGTCCAAACCTCTGGTTGCGTTTTGAAAAGAGCGTTTCCAGGCTCTGTAGTTCTGAGGTCTGTCGTTGAATTGAAGTAGGCCTGTTGCCACAAGCTCACGACGAGCAAAGTATCTCACAAAGTCGCTAATGTTGGAGTTGTTATTATCGGTGTTTGAAGATCTAGGATAAGATTTAAGAGCAGGATGACCTTTGTCGTTTTGAGGTTCAAGACCTTGCTCAGGAGTGGCATTGTGATTGTCAAACCGAACATTGCGTGTCCTATCGACCTTTTCATCTTTGTAGATGTAAGGCTGCTGTGAGGTGAGGCGAGTTGGTTGAGAAGCTGCATTATGGCCATGTGCATGATGGGAAGCTATATTGGCTTGGGTCGGATGGAATGAGTTGGCTTCAGATTTGATAGATGAAGCTGAAGTTTCATAGTTAGGACTTGGCCTTCTTTTTGTTGCAACACCATCATCAAGTAGCTGAGCGTCTGCGTTTTGTGGTTCGGCTTGGTCAATCACGTATTGTTCTGTGCGTTGTGCAGCTTCCAAAGGACTGGAGTCCAAATTTAACATGAAACTATGTCTTTCACTGTTTGCATCTACCGCAGCTTCAAGGGTTTCGGCCTCAGCTACGGCTGCAGCTGTCTCTTTCTTGTAATTGAGCATTTCTATTGAGGCTTCTAGCTTAGCTTTTTCTAGCTTTAGGCTCATTTCCTCTTCGGCGTAGGACATGCGTGCCTTTGCTGCCTCTGCTCTCGCTCTTGCTTTTGCTGCGGCAGACCCCGTTGATGATACGCTTGAGTATGTAGTAGAACATGTAGCGCGGGACCGCGTCTTTAATGAAGTTGCTTTCTCGGACATGGTGTTGTCTGGTGACGTACCTCTGTTTAGACACCGCTGTGATGATCATCCACTGGCTGCGTGTGATGACGTTGTTAGTAGCGTCTGTCAGCTGGCTGCGTTATCTTGCCCACTAGAAAGCCATTGTTTTACTGTGCTGCCCTCAGTATATGTGCTGTGATACACCTTGGCAGTTAGACAAACTCCTTCCTGACATCACGACTCTGAAGACAGTGCCCGTTGTCCACAGGTTTAATGACGTAAGAAAGAGTAAAACTAAAACACACAAAAGGCATAATGAATACAAATAAAATGATTTCTCTTTAACCTTACACATACACACAATGTACATATACTGATTCTTCAATGAAATACATTGCTTTGTTTTTAATCGCTGCTTTTTATGTATTTACTGCTGATATGAACTTTAACAACAGTCATAGTGGAGTTACTAATGACTCGATGGACTTTGTGCATAAAACTTCCCAAATCTAAACAGTCACAAAAATAATCATCTGCGATCATAAGTAACAATAAAACAAATCAATACATACCAATGATGCTATCAAAAGGCATAAGATGCAGGCAGACTCAACTGGATTGGAAAACTACTGAAAACAGAGGCTCTGAGCCCACACTCTTCCTTCACTTCCTGATTATAAGTCACCTGACAAGTTACAGGACACTTCCTGTTTCAAAATAAAACGTATAACATACTGACTTAACAATTGTAACAAAACAATATCAGAACCCTTTAGATTGCATTGAACAAACAGATTTATTATATTTTCAAGTGTGTTTGTGGGTAGTTTAGCGTACGTGATGTAGAGACAAGTATCTTTATTGCTGTTAGTGAGCTTTTATTTTGGTAGCGTGCATTAATCTTGTTGCTCTTGTCATGTTTGGACCGTCAGGAAGAGCGCCAGTCTTTGTGGCAAATTTGACGTAGTGGCCAACGGTGGAATTCCAACTTCTGGGTCGATCACGTGACGCCATGGGGCCCAAAAAGACTTTTCCTCAGATTTAGGCTGCAGTCGAAAAGCCCTTTTTGCTTAGGAAGGTTCCTAACTGAGTGAAATGACCCGGAAGTATCGAAGTGGCCGCTATGATAAGAGCTTTTTGAATTCTCTAAATGCTAAGGAAAGGTGCTTCAATGCTTCCTGTATTAGCTCCTTTAGCATAGGAAACACTGGACCTTCCTGTACAAAAGGAAAGAAGATGATTCCGGCCCACAATTCCTTGCGGCGGCAACATTTAAATTGACGCACCATTCGGCCGTCCATGAAAACAAACGATGTGTTTATCTTACACAGATTTAACAATTATACTCATACAGTCATAAAGTAATGGGATTCATGTTGATGAATATGAACAGACAGTGACAATCCTTTAGTTTAATTTCATATGTATTTATTTACTTTGAACATGTAACAAATAAGTAAAACACAGAACACAAAATAAAATGAACAGTAAATACAGAGAACTGTCGAACAAATTCTCGTTCTCAATAACAAGAAGCATCAGTAAATTCCATAAAGGTCAAGGAGAAGTGGTTAGGATAGATGTTAGGAGCCTTACATTGGAAAAGAGACACCTGTGACTCAGTGGATAATTGTCTTTGAGGTGAATCAACATCCCAGTATGAACACTTGATTGGCCCTTGTTTAAATGATTAGGTTCTAATAGTTGTAAAATGCACTTAACAGCTGAATGCAGAGTGATTTCCCTTCCTCTGTCCATGTGAATGAGCCTGCGGGCTGGGAGGCGGGGTTAAAGGAAACGCTAGTGCGCTTGTTCTATGGGCCCAGTGATGGAGGAGATCTCTGATATATGTAATGTTCACTAAACTAGCTAGCAGTTATGAATGTTATGAGGTTTCTCAACTCAGATCCCAGTGGTGGAAAGCAGAATTATACTGACACGTATCATAAAGTACAAATGAATGCTGCTTCAGTTTTTTTACACGTAGATTGTCAAAGACCAGGACCAGTACGGTATCTATCAGTCCAGTTCTTCTTCAGGCCAACTCACTGGCTACACATTGTAGCTCATGATAGTTGTGTATTGGGGAAAAAGAAATGGGAGAAGTACTTGTGGAACTTGAAGTGGGATTGTATATAATGACGGTACTTCCACTAAGACATGTAGTACCTGGACAGGATCCACACTGACCATTAGCTTGATGTAATCATGTTGTCCTGTCATTTAACGTGAGGACTTATCTTCAGGTTTGACAGACAGGGTGAACTACTGCACACTAAAATCAGAGCTTACAGCTCAAATCATGTCTGTATTTAATAACTAAACAATATATAAGTTGCTATTATTTATAATCATACATATGTACAAAATATACACATGTATGTTTTTTCACAACTGCCAGTAAGTTCTTCAGGTATTCAGAATAAAATAGACCATACATGTACTGTATTCATTTGAATCCTCACAGGCTAAGACACCATGTAAGCCTTCCCTTCATCCCCTCTTTATTAAGGTTCCTTAACTTATGAAATATATGAATAAAGACGTGTATCTGAGCCGGGGAAGGCTAGAGGGAGGATGTGGTTTGTGTAGTGAACTGTTGTATGTCTACAGAGCCTTCATGTGTATGATGAGCCACACAGAGTGACATGTTGAAGTCTTTCTTTAGGAGTATCAAGCTTCCTTTGAACAGGTTTTGGCACTCTACCTGTAACATCTTGTTACCTCACAGTGGAGACGGTGATGTTAATGAAAGACCTCTTCATTGCATTCCACCTTTTCCAGGTCTTGTGTGCTTGAGATGGCTCGTGGGTCCAAAGGCTTTTTCATGTCTGTGTTTATGAAATGGAACAAGCGTGTTCTTTGTGTGAAATGCTCTCGATGTACATACAGGTAGCTGCTGAAGTAGAATCAACACAAATGGAGCCGTTGGGATCACCTGCTGGACATCTGAGTTTGAACTGCCACCAAAAGGTTGTGATGTATCTCACCAGTAGCTTTGTCATTAGATGTTTTACCTCCAGTAGTTTCTAGTTAAGGAAACACTGTTTTATCGTTTGGAAAATATCTTTTTCTTAAAATTCAAAATAAATTCTGCTCTATATTTGTTTGTTAAAATGCAAGCAGCAAACATGAAACGTGCATCAGATTCTGAACTCAGACAGAGCAGTGCCGCACCATGTGATTCAGCATTGATTTATCCGACCTCTGTGAACTTTGACCAACAAACATTTCACTGCATCTAGATTGACAAAGTGGTCAAAGAGCAACTAGTCCCAGTTAAACCCTTTAAACCGTGACTGTGATGACCCCCAATGAGACCAAATACCCAAAGTAGATTTACTCTTCTGTGGTTGAGATTCAGATGCCAGTCCAAAGTGTCCCAAGTTCCCAAAGTTGTGCATTTGTGGTCCAACAGTCACTTTAGTCATTTTTTTTCTCCTGTATTACACAACATCCTAGAAAATTCAAGGACTGGCATAACAGAATATACATGACTCATGTCAGATGTTTCTAATTGAGTCCTCTCACTGAACGCAACAGCGGCTACTCTTTACTTTTTTACATGTCTAGTCAGAACACATCAAAGTGTTTATCTTGTACTGTTCTGCACCCTGTTGGTTTTGTATTTCACCAGCATTAAAATAATGAAGATCTTGTTGTCCAGCACTGCTCTTATTCTTTGTAGAACAGCATCATTTTCACACTTGAAAGTATTTATACGCCACCTACACACTAGCAGAATGACACCTCACACAGACTTCAGGCTCAGTTTAACAGTTTTATATCAGTTATTTAGAATTATTAAGGCAGATATTAGTGACTCTATATAAACATTGTTTTTGAATTGATATATTTTTATAGCCCATCCACACAGCTTGATGTAATCATGTTGTACCAGAATAGATCATGTTTGTACAAATGGTTAGTTTGATTTGTACAGAAGGATAATAAATACCAAGAAGGAAATGAGTGAATTCCTCTTCACATTTACATAAATATGCAAAAACGTCTTCTGTGCTCAAGATGTCCTATTGCACGCTCAGAATTGAAACACAAATACAATCCCAATACATTCCAGTTGAGTTTTGTTTGACAGATAACAGACGGATGAAACTCGTACATATACTGCTGGGAAAATAGACGTTTACTCCAATATATACACTTCCCTTCTTTTACGCGTGATTGCGTATTTTTTTTATTTTTATACCATTGTAGACTAAACTTAAACAAGCACTAAAAACAACACCTAATAAACAGCTGTCCAACAGCAGCACAGGTGTAGTGGGTTGCATTGTTCTGGATGGGTGTTGCTATTGTGCCTAATCTCCTGTAGTTCTTTCCTTCTCCTTCAGATTAGTGCAAAGTGTCTGAACTGAGTCAGACAGCCATTCTATAGACGTCCAGGGTGATAAGTGAGAAAACATCAGCTTCAAACCGTCCCAAGTGAGTCCCATGGCCTGATATGCTGCTTACTGTCTTATACGCCGATGGATAGACAGAATAAAACTGCTGTGGTGTGACGCGGATGTTTCACTGCCTTCTACTTAGCCTTGTTTTGGCTAATTTGAAGGAATTGTTTTTAGGAATATAATGTATCTCTTTCTACATCCAAGATGGCAGGAGTAATGCAGACTGAGAAAAGGATTTAGTTTGCACAATCAGGCATTTGAACCAACAATTACAAAGACACACCACACAAATCACTATTTATTCTCTAAAATGACATCATTTGTGTGCACAAATGAACAGAACATAGCTGTAAATATAAAGAGCAAACTGTTTTTTCAGTTCAAATATTTTTGAAAGGTTAACCGCCAGAAGGTTAGAAGCAGATTATTTTGTTAGATAAAGAATATGTTGTGAATTTTTTTAATTATTCAATCTATATTTTTTCAGTAAATCTTGACTTTTGGACTCAACAACGCTCTGGAGTTATTGGAAAAGTTTGGATCACATGAGTTGGAAAAAATCAGTCACCACTGGAATCTAATTGTGCCTTGGCTAAGCCCCTCCCCCCCCCCCGCACTGCTGCTCCCTCGAGCTGTCAGAGCCACCACATCAGTGAACCACCACATCACCTGGTGATCGAGACGGAAGACAATAAAAAAGGATCAACAGTGTTCCTGTAAAGCTGGGTAGATCTTTATTCACTGTTACAATCATTCAAATACATTCAGTATACCTTCAGAAGCTAGCATAGCATAGCATAGAATTCAACTGAGATGCTAACCGCTGAGTGAATAAAACTTGGACATAGTCTCTGAAGCTCCCCCCCTTCTGATTGTTCTCAGTATTTGGGGCATGGTAAAGTAAGTGGGTTTTGGAGGATTTGGGTGAATTGACTATTTTAACAAACTTCCATATCTGATCGGAAATGTGCTATAAATATAATGTATTTGGAAGTTGTCCACCATGTCAAAGGTGGATCACGCTGACTGCCTTTAATAAAACGCCAACATCTGTGTGCCCCAAGTGCTATTGTGGCTTTTCATTTCTTTGGTCTCTTCATTTGCAAGCAGCTCCCAGCTGTGATTCAACTCCCCTCTGCCTCCCCCTGATGACTACGGTGATGGGTCCTTCAGGTAAGGCCTTGATCATGTTCCAGGCCTCAAAACGAGTCATGTCCTGTAGACTGATTCCCTGGACCTGCAGCAGTTCATCTCCATGTTGTAGACCGCTCTGCTCTGCTGCTCCACCTGAAACACACAGAGACAGGCACACACTGTTAGTCTGGGTATCTTTACAACAGTACGATAGCTGGTAACCGGGCTGTCAGTACGGGTAAAAAGACCTGCTTTATTTGTTCAGAACAGAAAAAGCTTAGCCAGGTGATTTTTTATTTTTCATTTGCAGTGTTTGTTGTTGTAATACTCATTTCGGCCACCGGAGGATGAAGCGCACTACTACCCCATGTTCTACCTAAAAGCACTCATGTTCTCTTCCAGGTCAGTTTGAATCACTCCATGTACTCTAAACACAAGGTACTTATATTGTGTGTTAGCAAATTATATAACATTATTGTCATGTGTTGGATAGAAATGTATTTGGATCGATGCTAATCTGGCGTTAGGGAAACCAGAAATGGCTGAACTTTGACCTAAACAATTTAGACCAGACTTAGAAATTGTTTTTTCTTCATTTACCTCTCAGGGCTTCTGTAAAAAAATTTATTTCTACAGACCTGTTTTTTTTATTTCACAAAAAGCCAAACAAAGCAGAGGATAAGACTGTTCATTTCAGAAGTTTACAGTTGTATAGTTGCTGCTACAGACGTGAACTAGTACTCATGTCTGAAGCAGCTTCCATTCCTCAGGCTCCATTCCCAGTTTTGAAAATAATTTCACTCCAGTATTGAATCACGTCCTCTCTTCCTTTATGAGAATCAATGTATTGGAATTGTCTCTCCTGTCTGTGACTTCACAGAACTCTTAGAATTCAACTGTCTGTCCCCTTCAGTAAATAAACAGAAGCACTTTTTAAAACCCCAGATGGCTGAGTGAAGCTGGTTACATTTTGAATGTATGGGGAATTTGTTTATTGTAAATAGAATGAAATCAGATGGCATCATGAGTGTACCTTTAAAGATCCTGTTGATGACTAAAGGTCTGTCTCCATGGATTGAGCCTTTCCCTCCTTCGAGAGTAAAGCCAACTCCTCCAGCTCCTTTCTCCAGCTCCACACTCAGCGGAGCTCCCTGCTCCTCCACTGTGAAACAAAACACAACGTACAACCTCAATGTGGAACCTTTTAGGCCTACGTGAGCCACAGGACTTATTTTCGACTTTAGAAAGCAAAGTGTTGGGACTCACCTGCAGGGTTGGTCTCTTGGCTCCTGCAGCTTCCTCCCTCTCTTCCTTCCTCCTCTGCTCTCTTGCAGACAACCACCACAGCCTGCTTCAGACAGCGGGCCTGACGCAGAGCCGTGGTGGCGTCAGCGTGTGTGAGGCTGCGCAGCGTTTGTCCGTTTATAGACAACACCTCATCTCCTTTCTCAATGGTGCCCTCCTGAGCTGCCAGGCCGCTAGGAAACACTCTGTGGACCTGGACGAAGACAATGAGTGTCTCACACAGAGATTCAGAGAGCGTGTGCACAGTGTCTGTCCCAAAGTGTAAGTAAGTAAAGTAGTATAGCACCTTTCAAACGGCAAGATCACAAAGTGCTTTAAAAGAATAAAAAGGAATATTATTATAAGACCGTAAAACAGTAAACAAATGAACAATATGACATGCAGAAAAGAGGTAGCGAGATGGTAGCAAGGCTGAACATCTTCAAACGTATTTGATTTGTTTTTGGTCAAATTAACTGTCTTTTTGTGACATGTATTCAACATATATTTGACAGTTTTCACAATACCAAAATGGAGTGTAAATACCCTCTTTGAGTTGAGTTTGAGTAAGAAAACAGTTTTTTGAAAGATGTGGTCATCTTGTATAAAAGCAGGGAAAAGTTATCCACCGTCTAGTCCACATAGACTGCTGTTGAGCTGACTGTAAAGAGTTTTGAAAAAGTCGTTGAAGGGTAAACAACTTGTACGGACGGGCCTTTATACACCGGTTCCGGGTTTTGTTGTGCGTTTAATTTGCATGTGATTACATTTTTTTTGAACTGTTGTTTTTGACCTGTATACTTTTTAAAAAAACGCACATATTACTCGGTGAAAAATAGGCGTATTTTTTGTTTCTGAGTTTTGCACCATGAAGGCATCCAATCAGGCGAGGAACAAGTTGAGTTTAACTTAATCAGTAAAACAACAACATGGAGGCCCAACCAGACCCACAAAGGCAGTGCAGACCAGATCCACTCCTTACCTTTAACAATAAAATCCCTAGAAATATATACTGCCTAAATGTTTGGATATCTAAAATTCACCCAACTCATTTTGCTCAAAGGAAACTCAATGAAATAGTTTACAGTAGTTAAGGCGATCCAACAGTTTACCTCAGACAGTCTGCCAGACGCTGCTCTGGGCTAACAGAAGTATTAGTTCATGCATTTGTTACCTCTAGACTAGATTACTGCAATTCCTTATTATCAGGCTGCTCTAATAAGTCTGTTAAATCTCTCCAGTTGATTCAGAATGCTGCAGCTCGTGTACTAACGAAACCTAAGAAAAGAGATCATATTACTCCTGTATTAGCTTCTCTACACTGGCTCCCTGTACAATATACAATATAATTTAAAATCCTTCTGCTTAGCTACAAAGCCCTAATTGGTCAGCACCATCATATCTTAAGGAGTTTATAGTACCATATTACCCCACTAGAGAGCTGCGCTCCATTAATTCAGGGTTACTTGTGGTTCATAGAGTCTTAAAAAGTAGGATGGGAGCCAGAGCCTTCAGTTATCAAGCTCCTCTTCTGTGGAACCAGCTTCCAGTTTCAGTCGGGGGGGCAGACACACTCACCTCATTTAAGAGTAGGCTTAAGACTTTCCTCTTTGATATTGCTTATAGTTAGGGCTGGCTCAGGTTTATAGCTAGGGCTGGCTCAGGTTTGTAGTTAGGACTGGATCAGGTTTATAGTTAGGGCTGGATCAGGTTTATAGTTAGGGCTGGCTCAGGTTTATAGTTAGGGCTGGCTCAGGTTTATAGTTAGGACTGGATCAGGTTTATAGTCAGGGCTGGATCAGGTTTATAGTTAGGGCTGGCTCAGGTTTATAGTTAGGGCTGGCTCAGGTTTATAGCTAGGGCTGGCTCAGGTTTATAGTTAGGACTGGATCAGGTTTATTGTTAGGGCTGGCTCAGGTTTATAGTTAGGACTGGATCAGGTTTATAGTTAGGACTGGCTCAGGTTTATAGTTAGGACTGGCTCAGGTTTATAGTTAGGGCTGGTTCAGGTCTATAGTTAGGGCTGGCTCAGGTTTATAGTTAGGGCTGGCTCAGGTTTATAGTTCGGACTGGCTCAGGTTTATAGTTAGGGCTGGCTCAGGTTTATAGTTAGGGCTGGCTCAGGTTTATAGTTCGGACTGGCTCAGGGTTATAGTTAGGGCTGGCTCAGGTTTATAGTTAGGACTGGCTCAGGGTTATAGTTAGGACTGGCTCAGGGTTATAGTTAGGGCTGGCTCAGTTTTATAGTTAGGACTGGCTCAGGGTTATAGTTAGGGCTGACTCAGGTTTGCCTTGGACCAGCCCCTAGGTAAGCTGCTATAGGCCTAGACTGCTGGGGGACTTCCTATGATACACTGAGCTCCTCTCTCCTCTTCTCTCTCTCCTTCTGTATGAATTCATGTCTCATTAACGCACATTACTAACTTTGCTTCTTCCCCGGAGTCTTTGTGCTTTCTCTCCTCACAGGTTTCCATGGATCGTGGTTATATCTGGGCCCTAGTCCTGCCGCCTACCATGGCCCTGCTGACACCCACTGCTAATATTATGTTTATTATTAGTCACATTACCACATGAGCCACATGAGAAACAGGGACTGTTGTGGAGGGCCGGACCAATAGACTGAACTCAATCCTGCTCAATATTATTCCACCTCTTTATAAAAAGCAGTAAATTGTATAGTTTTGATGAGCTGCGAGTGGTAAGAGTAAATATTATGATCAGTGGTGGAATGTAACTAAGTATTTTTGCTTAAGTACTGTACTTAAGTACAAATTCAAGGTACTTTACTTGAGTATTTATTCAACTTTGTACTTTTTACTCCACTACATTTGTCTGGCAGCTTTAGTTACTTACTTTGCACATAAAAAATGTTTAAACCCAAACTGAACAACAGAGTATAAAGGAGTTAAAATGAGCTCCACCTTAAACATCTGCAGCAGGAAGAATGATCCAAACATATACATTTGTAATATCCATATACAGTATAATAGTAAAACACTGGCAGCGATCATGTTTCTGCAAAATTAGTACTTTTATCACTATTACCTCATTTTCAGTTTTTCAGTTCGGTGCGAGAACTCTAGTGTGTGTTGGGCTTGAACGAGTGCACTGAAGTCAGGTTGAATGTGTGAGGTGAGATGTGAAGGACAGCTGACAGGTGATGTCAGTGAGAGAGGATCTGGATCTGGATTTGTTCAACTTCATCATGGAGAATGTTTGTTCACATATGTAGGTCGATCCAAAGAGAACCAACATCTTCTGAGCATGTTGCTTTCGCTTAGCTAGCAAAGCCTCAGATGTCTGTGCCGCTCTGCATCACGAACACATTGCAGTGAGCTGCTGCTCTCACACATTCACCAAGTACTAACGTACGTAAATTGAGAAAAAAAAGCAACAGTCGCCTTCAAAATAAAAGCAATGCCGCTGTATTCCGTGCATGATGTACACTTATTTATGTTTCATTCCGAATTTCCCATTGAAATCCCGCGGACTGGTCGGGTATGGGCCCGGGGGCCGTAGTACAATGCCCAGGTCTGCTCTAAAATGACGATTTAGCACATGTTGAGGATGAAAAAAATCACTTTTGCCAATTTCGTTGAAATATGGTCTTAATGTGAATCAATGTCTTTAAATAGTCGATGAAAAAACGTTCAGTTCTGAACGTCTTTTCATTGTTGACCATAATCCTTTTTTATATGCTCACTGGGTTGATTCCTTCCTTTAGCTTATTGGTCAATGGACAGGCTCTTGAGAGATCAAAGTAAATATTTATGTGTTCTGTGGTTGAGAACTGGATCTCAGGCTTCTTCCTGATCAGCTGAAAATCTGGAAAATCAGTAAAACCACAATATATTCAATAACTAAAATGATAAAATCACTACTGGATTTCATTTGCCACGTTGTTCTTGTGTGGCACCAATGGACTACAACTGCTATTATTTGTGTTCAAAAGGAATTCTCATTCTAAAACCATTTCAGATCCTAACTTATGCATGAATTGCACGTGTGTGTCCTTGCTATTGGTGCAATCTTGAATGAATGATCACTAATATGAATATGAGTCGACTGTGGCTATGTAGAGAGCAGGGCCGTCCGTCAATCAGAGGTTCGGCGGTCCGATCCCCGGCTCCGGCGCTACTATGTCGATGTGTCCTTGAGCAAGACACTTAACTCCAAAAAACTATTGCTCCAGTAGCTGTGCCTACGGTGTGTGAATGTGATAGAATCTGAATTGCAAGTCGCTTTGGGTAAAAGCGTCTGCTGAATGACCGTAATGTAATGTAGTGAGTCTGTAGAGAATGCTGCTTACTGTGGGAGCTTTGCTCTCCAGGTCAGTCCCTCCAGCGATGCTGAAGCCCAGACCAGCTCCCTCCTCTTTATGTAGAATCACAACATGGATGTCCACCAGTTGCTAAGGAAAAAGAGGCACAGTTACTACTGCAGTGTATTCATTCTTTATGTGATCCGCTCAGATTAACTGTCTTTTTACCACCAAGCATTGTTCACATCTACATAGCCAAGGCCACACTGGGTTTAAATATTTCATCTAAACTTTAAATAAAACGTTCTGCCAGTTTGTGTAGCTCCTCATGAGGTTCTGTTCTAACAGCATTCCTTAATCACATTCATGGTATTACTTTGATTTCATCTTAAATGTAGGCTGCATCCAATCCAACTGCTATAGTCTTGACACGATGTTTACAAGAGCAAATTATTATATCATTAAGGACATTCTCTTGCATGTCATATCATGAGTGGGTTTGTGTGTATGTGCACTATTTATTTGTATTTTGTGTGTGTATATATAAAATATAAGATATAAAATATGTTTGACCTGAGCGCTTCTATAATCCTAAATACCATAAAATATAATATATGTGATGTGTGTGCGATGATGATGTCGTAGGTTTAAAATTGGGGGATTTGTACATAAACATACGTACATCTCCAGTTTTATAACCCGTATAGAACATTGGTGAAGCTGTCTTATAACAAGTTCTGTAAGGTTTCTTACCTTCAGCGTCTCTTCGTCCAGACCTTTGACTTCCTGGATCATCCTCTTTATTTCTTGTGAGGGGATGGCTGAGATGACAGAGTGAGCACAAGCAGAAGTGACTGCTGTGTCGTCATGACACCCCCCCTCCCCTCGCTCAATGGTACACTCCCTCAGTGTGGCCAAGCTGTGTTCAACATGATGCAAACACATCAGAGATGAGGATATCAGTTACACACCTCTGATCATTGTGGATGCCAGTAGTGTGTAACTGAGCTGCATTCACTGCATTCATTCGCTTCTGACGGTTCAAAATGTTGTAACTGCTTCTCTGGTAAAACAGGAAGTGATTTTTTTTCAACCTGAACCACTTCCTTATGAATACAAAACAGGTCCTGGATGCCTTCTGGTAGTGAGTCCCTGTTTAAATAATGAATCACTACATGTCATGTTAACCCAGACCTCTTAGTGTAAGTCTTACCTGACAGAGAATCCTTTGTTGGGGCTGTCCAGGGCGTGCTCAGACCACTGAGGGTTAGTCATATCCACGGCAGAGGAGTCCTGCAGGTTTGGGGAGTGAGGCTTTCCATGGCAGGGGTACGTGGGTAGAGAGCGCATCAGCGCTTGTGAGACCTAGAACAAAAACAACATAGAATGGAGGGAGATACAATTAAAATCTTATTTTTGTAGTTTTTGCTATCACTTCTACCAGCAATATTATCATTGGGCTCATCAAGTATTGAAATGAAGGTAACTGTTCAACTATAAGCCAAACTGTCCAATGTAAACATCCAGAACAGTTTACAGACTGACTAGTTTGTACATGTAAGTCTTGGCATCAGTCACATTGTGAGAATTTTACAAATTCTCTAAAACAGCTATCAGTAAATTTGTCTCACATTGAGATCTCGGAAAACCAAGGACTTCAAGTGATTGCTCTCACAATTTCCATCTGGGACAGCTCAGTGTATAGGGACACTGGGATTATGAAAATATAGAATCATATTCCAGCATGGCCTGTATGAAAGAAGGGGACGTATCTCCCTGACATCACCCATTGGTGGGTAGACTACGGTTTTATTTAAGTCCACAAATGATGGATGGATGGTCAAACAATCACAGGACTGGAGACAGCTGTTCATGTCCCATGTGAAACCTCACTTAACATTTACTTTACGCTTGTTACTGAAAGCGGTCTGTTACCCTAGAAAGTCCACGAAGGGCAGCTGTTATTTATTTACGCTAGTTACATTGTTACGGTTGTTACGTTGTTACATTATTACATTATTATTTTAAAACAAACCATCTTTTTTGTAACCTTACCCCATGTAATTTTGTTGCCTAAAATTAACCGTTTCATAACCTTTTGTGTTTCAGAATCATCGACATTCAACGTCACCCCTAGCTTGCAGAAAAGTACAATGGCAAAAAAAATTCAAACAATTACCTTTGACGAAGGGAAAACCAACTATGAAAGGGTTAAAGTTCTAAGAAGAAAACTCAGACAACCCCCAGACCGGACAACGCCGTGGTAGAGACGTGTCAATCAGAAAGTAGTATTTGACTCTAAATGGAGCATAATTTACTAAATAAACATCATACTGTATTGAAGAAGACTTGAAACTAGAGATTGAGACCATGAAATAGACTGTATATAAGAAGTGGATGTAGTCACCTTTGGTTTGTGGACACATTTTTGAAGTCTCAAATTTGGCATTTTAGCCATCGCCACCTTGTTTTTGCAACCAGAAGTAACACTAGAGCGTGGAGCTAAGTACAACTGAAGACATTTTTAGGAAACCAAAAATGTAACAATTGACTTTGATGAAGTAAAAACATAGCGTGAAATGATTAAAGTTGTAATAGGAAAACTTTCAGACCAGACAACGCCGTGGTACAGACTTGTCAATCACAAGGTAGCCAAACGAACTAGAGATTGAGACCATAAACTCATGTTTACAATGTTTACTGAGGTAATAAATCAAGTGAGAAGTGATGAACATTGGAGAGAATGCGGGTTTAAGACATGAAGCATTGGCTTCACTTTTCAGAACCGGAGGTTCTGCCTTTATTTCAGTGAGCTTACCTCCACATACAGTGGTTTACATAATCTTGATCAATTGTTACTTTTACAACCTTGTGATTTCACAAATTGTGTTTCTTGACCCATTAGACTTTGTTATAGCGGTGCTGCCATGATCCTGGAAATTGTACACAAAACTATATCAAAATAAGTCAAATAAATAAATACATTTAAATTGTCCTTTAAATAATGTTCACATGTCACATAAGGACATGACTATAGTTCCTCACATGACAGATTACCTGGTTACTGAATGCGAGGATTTTCCCCATACTCTCTCCCTCCAGACCTCCCAGAGGGTTACTGTCTGTGGGGGTAACAGCACTCAGAGTTGTGCTCTGCAGCGTTCCTTGGCTCTCTGCTCCATCTTCCTCTGTCCCCTCTGGAGGACTTTCCCCCTCGACTTTAGTGGATCTCATAGATGTCACAGGGGGCAGGACTTTGCACTCTGTGGACCTGGTAAGATCCACTCTTTCTAGCTCAGATTCAGACTGCTTTGTTGGAAAGACATTCCTGTCATCATGGACTTGAGCTGAATGAGAATCATGTGTCCCTGAGTCCAGATCAATGCTGATGGTGTCAGAAAATGGAAGCTCTGTGGGGGATTGGATAGAGGGAGGTTCATCATCAGAGGACTTGGCTGGAATTTGACTACAAGCTTCAGAAGAGGAGAAGGTGATAGCAGAGGGTGTAGCAGACACATTTGTGGTGCTTGTCTCCCTAACAGATGCTGACTGGTTTGCCTGGATCTCTTCTGGGATTTCATGTTTGACCTTCCCATAATCTCCATGTGAGGCAAGGTGACTCTTGGACTCCGTCTCCAGAGTAAGAGAGTTGGAAGCGGCAATAGGTCTCCTGTTACCCCCCTTTTCTGGACCCTCTGGACTAGAAAAAGTCTCAAACGAGTGGATCTTTTGTTTAATTGACAGGTTAGCTGCAGAAGAGGCAGATCTGACTCCGAAGCTTCTGTTGAAGCCCACAGCAGACCTCTGCTCTGCGGGTTTCACTTGCTTCTTCTGGTCCTGCTCATCCCGAATTTTCCTCAGACTCTTGCGAAACCAGACAGGCTTGGGTGCCACCGGGGGCCCCAACATTGCTCCTGAAGGAGTTTCTGATGTGTTTTCAGGGGTCATGTTGGACGGAGGATCTGAAGTTCCATCAGTGGCTGAGCTATTGAGCTTGGACATGTTCTCTTCGTCACTCATGGTGGCAGGCTTGCTGTGGACGTTGATAGGCTGTGTTGTTTCTGCAGCACAGTGGGGGTGACGATGGTGGATCTTGGTCAGCTCTTCAGGGGAGCTGTCTGAAAGGCGAACCCAAGGATCCTGAAGCTGTTCTTGAGCGTGTTGGTCGAGAGCTGCTTTCTTCGGCTGTGAGCAGAGCACAGTTGATGAATCACCTGTCCAGCAACACAGAGGAAAGTAGAAAAGTCTGAGAGGTAGTTCTGTGTTTCAAACATGCTCATGTCTCAAACTTAGGAATAGATATTACTGTGTATTCACACTGTGAACTACATGATAGTTGTAATAGTCATCATCCAGGCCTCTGCTTGTATTAATGAGAGTTCAAAGGGTTATTTCATGCATTCAAATACATTTATATCAAACTATTAAAAACCAAATTACAACAAAACAGGTTATCATGGAAGTAAAACAATACAAAACTAGTATCAATAGTCACCAGCCATGTTTAAGCCCAGACAACTTTGGTCTAACCAAAGCAAGTTATCGTCAACATTACTGCCAACGGAGTCGGCAAAAATGTTGGGGTTGTACCCTTTTGGTTTCCGAACCAAAAATATGTTTCATAAATACGTTTTATATCAGCCTTGTGTCACGCATGTAGAAACATATAATATCAAGTGGTTAATGTTGTGAAAAGATTGGTTAGGTTTAGGCAACACAACTACTTGAATAAGGTTTGAAATACATTCATAGTTTGTGTTAAAATTCTGATGTAACAACATAATAATATAATTACCATTAATAAATAACAGCCGCTGTTGGCGTAAGTGTAAAAATGTTACATAATAGTCCACATTTACTTTTTTGGCTTTACATGTGATGCAGTGTTTGTTTGAACAATCCACCACCACTCCCATCCGCCTAGAGTGGACTTTCTTGCTTGTTTTAAACTCTGTATTATACCACTTATCTTTTAATATCGGTCAATCAATATACTGCATCACCTACTCGCTTGTTGTACTACGCCTTAGTACAACTCATCCTGACACTGCCGCCTGCACCAACTACTACATGGCACAACAACCTACGTCACTTGCTATTACCAGATGCAGAAATGTCCACATTCAATGCATCCATGGTTTGCTGAAATGTACAATGCCTGATGACTGCTTTTGCTTCTGCCCCTGTTGGGCTCTGTCATATGATTGAATTCTATTTACTGACACATAGAAACTCTGCCTCAAACAGGAAGTGGAACCTCAGTTGTTCTCCACTGATAACTGATAACCACAGCACCAAGATCAGCTAGTTCTGAAGTTGCATTCAGGTGCTGAAATGTAGGATAATAGTACTTGTCTCCTACCTGTGTGTAATCTGTCGTTGGTGCAGGCTAGAGGTTGAGTGAAATCTTCCTTGATCCCTTCTGACTCTTCTCTTATTCGTTCTCTTTCCTGCTACACAAACAGGAAGTATTGTGTCACAACAGCTTCTCTTGTATCAACCACAGAGAGGTGCAATAACGTACCCTGCTTCCGCTCAGACATTCATCCACATAACTGCTACTGCTTTCACACCGTTTGATTGAGTGAGCAACAGTCCCATAAAGTAACAAGCGTGATGCATACAGCCAGCGGTCAAAATGAGCTTTTTTGAGGAGGGGGAGGCCTTGTCCAATGAGACTAGGGGGTTTAGTAAAGATGGGGTAGTTAACACAGACCACACTTAACAGTTTTAATGGGGACTATTTCGTTAGTAGGAAGTTGTTCCAATGAAAACTGAAGCCTTTGTGCTCTGTGGCTGTGGATTGTCTAGTGCAGTGATTCTCAACTGGTGGGTCGCGGACCCGTTTTCAGTGGGCCTTTGCCTGACCAAAAAAAAAAAAAGGGATTTTATTTTGAAGGGCATTTTTTATGCAGCGGAATTATTCCAGCATTTACGGCACTTGTTCAGCGGTGCAGGAATCACACCGACCAATGCATTGTGAATCACATCATGTGATGCAGCTCAGCCAATCAAATATGGGTATTCTGTCAAGTTTCCTGACTTGAGTGAGATGTACACACACGTGACACACGGGGCTGAGACGAGGATATAGACAGCAGAGCAGGACTATTGAGGTGTGAGTTGTGAAAGTCAAATCATAGGATGATCTCCAAAAGAGAAAAATGGCCAGAGAGACCAGAGTCATTAGACTCTGACTGGACAGACTCATATAGGTGAATTCTTCCAACACTAATTTCTCTTTTTAGTAGATGAGAAAAATATAATATTGTGGCTTTATCACTTCACCCTGAATGAACTGAATTTAAAGTTACGTAATTTATTTTTTAATCCAGCTGTTATTTTACTTGAAATGAGAAGAACATTTATTTATGTATTTCTATGTATTATTTATAATCCATCCAGTTAAATTTGAAAACTGAGAATAATAATTGTTAAAATATAATTGATGTGTACTTTTTTTATTTGATTTGGCAGTTGTTTACTACACAGAGACGTTACTACTACTAGACTTCTTGAATATAAATATACCCAAATTATATATATATATATAATTTGGGTCGTGGGTCGCGGCTTGTCATTAAGGGGTGATGGTGGGTCCCGCAGCCAGACCAGTTGAGAACCACTGGTCTAGTGTATCAATGGCACCGTTTTTAGAAAGAGATTTTTTTTAAAGCTGTACCACAAAATAAATTCCATTCAGCACAATCGTATTGGTGGAATTCAGGAGAGAGATATCTCAAATCGAATGCAACTATCTAAATGACCAGTTGCCACTAAGGTGTAGCGAGAATATTAAAATTTGTATTGTTTTATTTATTGGTCATGTAGATGAAGCAACCATTTTTATAAATTTGATGGACAAATATAATTGCATTAAAGCAGTAAAACTGAAATCTCCATGTAGTAATCCACTTGACATGGCAGAAAAACAAAAACAAATGTGAGAGTTGGCAAAGCTGCAACACTGAATGTCAGGAGGCAGAGCTCCGGTGGGCACATGACATGCACTGCTTTCATGCTAATATGCACACACACAGACATATGTAAAAGCATGCATGAAGAGCACAACTGAAACATAAAATGGGTATTTTAGGAAGCATATTATATTCTAACACCTGAATTTTCAAAGCCAGTTGTATACAGAGATGCACACACACTTGTACTTCACGGCCAAAAGTATGTGTACATGTTTACAACATCAACGTGTCACACAACACCAATTAGTTTGAAAATGTTGATAATTTGTAGGTTGAAAGAGAGACGATATTGATTACTGTGAACATATTCCTCCAACGTCATATTATACTGGTCAGCTAAATGTGGTCTACACGAAGAAGCTGACATGAAACTATATAGACCGTGTGCTGCCAACAAGAAGCTTTCAGGACATCGTACAGGAGCAGTTCTTTACATTAATGTAAAATAAGAGTGTGCTTCAGACCTTATACAACCAGTTTTAAACTATCACCGTTGAAATTCTGGTTGGTGCTCACTGGGAGGCCCAATGTTCTTTTCTGATAGGGTTGTACAACCATGTGTAATTATGAGCTTTCCACAAGATAGTAAGTAATAATATGTTTTTCAATCGGTTTATGACATTTACTCTTTTTAAAGTCCTTGGATCCAATTCATAAACCAATAAAAGGGGTGCTTTTTTAGAGTATAGCCAGTTTAACACTCACACACTAGGCTGACAGCTTTACGTTTCATTATATCTTAAAAAGCCAAAGGTGCTCAGCATGCATTCACCACCAAAACACGAAGCCACATCACTTAACATACATTCCTTGAGAGTAACCTCCAGATCTTTCTCAAGGCTTTGTACATACTGCTGAAGAACTGCCGGCAGTGGAAGGAGAGCAGTGTGTTACATGTCACTCTTTTTAGAAAAAGCATGATACATTGAAGGAAACATGATTAATATAAGGGGGATCAGTACATTGAGAAAGTAGCAGAAACCCTGTCCCTGTCATCTCTGTGTGGAAGTGAAAAAGAATACTGACGCAGATGGTCTCAGACATAATTTTAAAATCTTGTTAACTGATTGATAAAACAAATGAGCTTTCTGAGCAGCATTTCTCAGACAGCGCAAGCTTGTTACAGCCACAGCCGATGCCCTCAGTGTCTCACCCTCTTAGTTTCTTTTAAATGTAGAACATTCTAGATTGGTTACCATATGCCCATCCCACTTCCTGATTAGCATCCGAAGGATCCTGATTCAGCATCTTGTCCAGCTCTCCAATCCAGTACATGCAAGTTTTATATATTTATGGCTACATATTGGAAAATGATGGAAGGGTGATTGTGATTTGTATTTTCTTCAGATGTGTTTCGTACATCTTGACACTGAAATGGCAAATATAGGAATAACACAAACATTTTGCTATCCGACCTACACCTGACAGATCCAGACGAAGGATCTGGATCCGGATTGGTTTGGGATCATTTCAAATCTAATATTTAATTTCTCTTTTTCGGTCCCTAACTTTGACAGATGGCTGCGTCCATGCACGTGTTGCAATGCCCACTGATTAACAGCAAAGAAATGGAGCAATGCAACAGCAAGTTGCTAGTTAGCAAAATGGATGAAAACAAGGCAGATGACTATGTTTTGTGAAATTTCCACAGGGTACCCTCCAGTGGTGGGCCGTCAGGGCCTTCAAGGTCATTCCTGCTGGGCTAGACAGAATCACAAAGTTATAGCTATTTTATAATTTAATAATTTTTGTTAAATACACTACATGTATTATAATTTGTAAAAATATTTTCCCCATTATCTTATTTTCTCATTGCACAGCTCCTGTCTTCCTCAGTTGCTCTGCTTCTAGTGCAGCTTGTTTTAAGTAGAGCTTTTATCCAATCAGAGTTCACCTCTGTGTCTCTAGGTAAGAAGAGAGGCCCGAGGCCTGCAGACTCACAAGTGAATCCCTTTGCAGTTCAAGTGAATGGGGACGATATTGTTGATTGTCATAGTGTTCAACCAATCAGATCTTTAGTTTGACATGTTGGGCGTATTCTTTGATGTGTCAGAGCCTTCTAGCTGGCCTAGCCATACGTGATTGGTCAGTGGGCTAGCGTGATATGTTGGGCGGTGACAATCCCAATATCTGCTGCCTCTGTCGAGCGGACATTTTCAGCCTCAAACGCATTAAAACGTATTCAAGAAATACAACTGGGGAGGCTCGACTGTCTTCACTGGCGTCCATGAATCCAGAAGGACTTCTTACTGGAACTAAAACGCACGGATGTACTGAACAACCGTGGGATTAACTCTTTGTTAACAAAGAAAGGATTGACTTTGTCTTTAAATAGTGAACAGCAGCTCTGGTAATTGAACTGATTTTGTTTTTACATCTGCAGTAGCTTTAATATGCTTGTTTATATATTATCATTTGTACAACTTGTTTTTATGAAGATGGATTTTTGTTTGGTTTTATATGTGATAGGAACTATTTTTACATCCTATGTTGCTCTGGGGACACATTTAGCCAGTGCCAGTGTTGCCAACTTGGCGACTTTCTCGCTAAATCTGGCGACTTTCTGAACCCTCATGGTGACTTTTTTTTGTCAAAGGCTACTAGTGACAAATCTAGTGACTTTTTCTGGTGTTGTTGGAGACTTTTCTGGTGTTTTGACTCTGACGATAAAGCACGTACCGTTCTGCACTGTCATGAACGAGCAGCAGGTGCTGCCGTGAGCCGCCCCAAAGCACTCACAGGAGGTAACTCTCACAGCAGCCTCGCACTGCAGTCGGAGAAGAGAGGAGACGCACTCTCGGCGTATTCTCTGCAGTTATTGTATTTATAGGTGTTGGCTTAATTTTTACACGAAACAAATGATAACCGTAGCTGTGGCGTCATAATGAGGTGTTTCAGCTGCAGGACAGCAGTGAAGGCCCAGGTATAAAATGCACGGCCCGCCACTGGTACCCTCAAAGCAATGCCTGACTAGTCAAGGGACGATTGAAAATGTGTGACATAGTAGATAAGTGTACAATCATAGAAAAATTAAAGCTTTTAAACAATAAAATCTTGAAGAGTAAATACTAGCAAATATGCAAAAAGAACAAAAGTGTAGAGCAGCTGTATTTAGACTGGTGTACCTGGCAGCTGGTGTGGGATGACAACTCCTGTCCTCCATCTCTAACCGGGGATCCTCTACTGGAGCCACTGGAGTCTCCATTATAACCCTCCTCACTGGTCACATCCTGAGGCCAGCAGTACCGACGTGGAGCAGCACGCGCCCTGCAGGTGGACTACAGACACACAGCTCTATTACAGGCATTAAATATGCAACATGCAGTATCTGGCCAGAATTTCTATTTAAACATTCAGAAATGTAACCATGGTTATTAAAAGAATTTCAAGAAGAAACCGTTTTGACATAATGCTGTGTGATATGTGACGGATTTTTTTGTGCTGCAGAGATATCACTGCCAATCAGCAAGGTGCGGCCTATCCTTTCCTGAAATAGGCCATAGTGTGTCACTGTAGCGTCCAGTCTGCTCTCAGTCAAGAGAATGAAGAGTAGAGCTGCTCCAGGGCTTGCCAATAAAACATCCATGGTCTGAGTGAGTTTTGATAGTTTGTTTATTGGATTAATAGAAAGTGGCAGAAACACGAATACGACTCGCACCCTCACCTCGTCTCCAGGCAGCAGTGAAGCATTCAGCAGCTCCAGGAGAGGTACCCCCAGTTAGCAGTTAGCTCAAATTCAGCCATCTTACCCCAGCATTGGCGGTCTAAACCTGGAGGGCTGCCCTATTGACCGCTTTTGTCCTTCTCCTTGTGGCCTCCCGGCTTTGGGGAGGACGAGATGAAGGTGTGGGTCATTTTCTTGTTTCTGCCACTTTGGCATAATATAATGATAGAAATGCTACTGTATGATGACACTTTGAATTTCCAGGACCAAGTATATATCGACTGACAAGACAATTAATTTTGAATTTGATTGACATGCTACATTTGGTTAATTGAGAAGATAACTTACCCAAAAAGGTGGGGTTTCCTCATTTCCTCATAGGTAAAATTAAACGCCCATCTTTTTTGTCCATGAAAGCTACCTATCCAGTAACATCTCGGGTAGCCTACCGGTACACTCTAATCGAAGATACAGGCAGGACAGGATGAGTGCTGACTGAAGAATTATATTTACTGTTTAGTTAGAATTTCTTAAGTTAAGATATCGGATAGGACATAGACATGAGTTAAGGAATTGCTTCTGCAATAGGAAGACATGATTTTCCTATCTCTGAAACTTACACTAAGCATGGATGGATGGATGCATGAGTGGATGCAAGGATGGATGCATGGATGCATGGATGCATGAGTGGATGCAAGGATGGATGCATGGATGCATGAGTGGATGGATGGATGGATGGCTGGATGGATGAATAAGAAGATATGATTTGAAACTTACACTTAGATAAGCAGTTTGGATATTTTTCTGTATTGAGGCCCCAGCCCCTGTGATTAATGGATGTGTGCTTGCATGCATGGATGGAGGCAAGGAAGGATGGATGGATTGATGGATGGATGGATTGATGGATGGATGGATGGATGACTCCATGAGTGGATGCGTGGATGGATGCAAGGAAGGATGGATGGATGGATGGATGACTCCATGAGTGGATGCGTGGATGGATGCATGCATGGATGGATGCATGGATGGATGGATGGATGGATGACTCCATGAGTGGATGCGTGGATGGATGCATGGATGGATGGATGGATGACTCCATGAGTGGATGCGTGGATGGATGGATGGATGGATGCATGGATGGCTGGATTGATGGATGGATGGATGGATGGATGACTCCATGAGTGGATGCGTGGATGGATGGATGCATGGATGGATTGATGGATGGATTGATGGATGGATGGATGGATGCATGGATGCATGGATGCATGGATGGATTGATGGATGGATGGATGGATGGATGGATGCATGCGTGGATGGATGCATGGATGGATTGATGGATGGGCTACCTTAAAGCCCCTTGAGGCCAGATCCAGGACCTGCTGACTGGACAGGTTGGCAGCAGCAGAGTTGTACGGGAGGTTATAGTCTTCATCAGGATACACAGGCACTGACAGTCTGTTGTCAGACCATGTCTCTCTCATAGACTACACAACAAGAATGGGACAGGGATAACATGAGAAACACATCATTTCAAAATAGCAGATTACTCGGATTCTGATAGATTTCCCAGAAACAAACGTTCATCTGATCCCAGAAACTTTAAAAGGAACCCTCTCAATACATCCTGCCGCACATTTGGTTACCTTGGGGGTGTCTAGGCTGTGGACGCGAGCTGATGGGTTATGTTGTGTGTTGTGAAGGCTGTGTATGGTGAGGCAGTGGTTGTGATTGGGACCGTTGGTGTTGTCGCTGCAGGAGCGGGTCATGGTCTTCTGTGCTCGTCGAACCGTCAGCTGACTGAAACTCCTCTCCAGATAACGTTCACATCTGTGCCGGCTGTGAGAGCAAGACTCCGGTCTACGCAGTCCTGGGACAAAATAAAAAATGATTAAAAAAAAGAAATAAAGTTATTATAAAATTCTGATGAAAACTAGACACCCATTCCTTGAGAAAAATGTGTGTGATGCTGATTAATGTGGCAGTAAACATGTTTTTTGGCTTAAACTTCTCACTCAGAAGTAAATTTCACCATCAGCATTTAGATTGGTTCCCTTTAAGCCTCGTTTTCACTGTGCAGTTCTGTCTGCCTGCTACGATCTCAGGGAAAATGAAGGCTCCAATCACTGCACAAAGGAAGTGCATCTATTGGACTATTGTCCAACCAAAACCGAAAGTTTTCCCCTGAAGCTGGCGATAACTATCCTAAATTACCAAATTATTAATGTGAGTTTTATAGTTACTATACCCAGTGGAAATGGTGGACAGTGGAACAACCACAGTAACTGTGGAAAACGAAATGCAGTGTCCTGAGAAGTGCTGCCAACTCTTTTCCAAAGAAGTAGCTAGCAGTAGCTCCAAAAGTTGCTAAAAGTAGCCAGGTGACGTCATGTGTTCATTTGCATATTGGTGATATAATTGCACACTCATTTGCATAAAGCTTAGTCATTGTCTCCGTATTGTTGGCAGAGGAGACTGAGATTACTGTGAGCACCACTGGGAGTTAAGAACAATAAAATAAAGACTCTTCGAATATATGTCTTGCCTTTTCCCTGATGGTTTCAATAAGTTGCTAAATTTCTCGCATTATGATTGAGTTGCATTATGGGAAGTGTAGGATCCAAAGTTTTTGGAGTATAGACCCCATAAGGATCTAAAATTCACCACATCTCGGTTTCTGCTGGATACATTTTGACCATTTTTCAATTCGTCTATGGTGTGTCCCCCTACTTTATGGAAGTTCAACAAAATGATTCAACTTCAGTAAAATGAAAGTTATAGTATAGTATAGTAAGTACAAGAGTTATTTCTAAGAAAAGCACCCATCTACAAAGAAGTATGCACAATTTGACGTGAATATATCTCTAGCACTTAAGTTTTTTATCAAAAATGTAATCGAATAGCTGCATAAAATTCAGCAAATGTTGTTACATGAGCAGTACGTGTAGCATAAACATTTAATTAATCACAGTTGAGCTAAAAAAGGACATGGAAGGAAGCTAATAAGTTTGCAAGGCAACAGGAGTAAGACAACTTGAGTTCAGATAAACATGGGGAGAGCTGACGACCCAGCCATGCCATGGTCCTATGTGACTGTGGAAAATGAATAATAACCAAATACATATTTCACCATCAATGCTCCACTGGCTCTTATCCTTTCTCAGTTTGCTGATTTCCACAGCCTGAGCGATAGCATCATTCAGCTGCTGCTCTGATACCTGTGACACACAGAAGATTGGAATGAATAACTCAGGTTGATGAAAAGTTCTGGTGCTCGAGGCAACTCACAAACATTTTAAAGGAGACATATCTTTCAGGTTCATCCTCGTATTTTGGTTTTCCCCTAGAACATGTTTGCATGCTTTCATTTTCTCACACTGTTTGTCTGAATGTACCTGTAATTGCCCTCTGTCAGACACCTCTGTTATCTTGCCTGTCTCCTTAAGAGACGACTTCCTTTCCCCCAAACTCATCTTCTCAGGCAGAGAGAGAACTGCACATGTCATTTCACAAAATAAATCTATTTGTACTGCACTTTTTAAAGGTGATTTCTACTGTTGTGGGAAACACATATTAGACTATTGTTTTGCAGAGTCATAGGTAGAATGTAGAACACAGATGTCTTGTTGACAGTAGTGTCTGGGGATTCTTGGTGTTTTAATGACCTGAGGAGGAGTTTACATTCTACATCACACTTCAGCCTTTGTTTAGACACGGACACTAAATCAATCCGTTCAAATACAAGCTAGTGTTTGTGATAATTAGCAGATGTTATATGCTAACAGGCTAAAAAATAAAAATTGAACATTGTACACATGATACCTGCTAAACAACAGCATAGTCATTGTAAGAATGTTAGCATGCAGATGTTAGTCTTTAGCTTAAAGCCCTGCTGCTCCTCAGTACAGCTTCACAGAGCTAGCATGGATTTAGATTCAGTCTTCTTTGACACACACACACACACACACACACACACACACACACACAGTCAAATTACAATCCATGTTGACAGCACAGAGGCCTGCAGTGTAAGCCATGAAGCCACATTAATACTGAGGCAGCACAGGCTGGTTAGAGTGAATGAGGTGGATATGCGTTGCATACTTTGGGGTCGGGGTGACGACTGATGATGACGTGGACTGGACCTGGTGTGCACTGGCTCAGTACTGTGTAGACGTCATTCAGCACCATGCTGTAAACCACAGTGTTGTCGATCTCCATGATCTCATCCCCACATCTGAAGGAAGGGAGGGAAAGTTCAGGGAAATATATCGAAAAAAACAAAAAAAGAGCACTAAGTAGAGAAAATGACATGCTTGTCTGCCTAACTCCCACTCAGTGTGCTAAGAAGAGGAAACATGTTAGCCTATCAATAAAACCTTTTTAATATATGTTGGAAATATAAAATGTAATTCCATTGTAATGGCACAAAACTATTGTGGACACCTCATTGAAACCCAAGTGAGGAAAACTGCTTAAAGTGAATGCATGTGCACTTATTAAATGTTTGGTCTATAAAATGTCAGAACAAAAACAGGAAGAAGGTAGCCCACTGAGGACACACACGCGGGAGCTCGACCAACACCTACGCTTCCTCCGCTGCCAGGTGCTACAAGAGAGCCGCTATGAAACTCGGCTTGTTACATGTTGTTGTAGCAATGCGTGGTTGACCTAATGATCTGTTAGGCACAGAAGATATGACAAATGACATGTACAGTACATTATTTAAAAGTATACTCCTAATTGTATTGAAGCTCTCCGCAAGTGAAAATATTTAAAAAACAACTTCTTTGTATTTTTATATCAAAATCCAATCTCTCTACCTTCATCATCCTTTCTCCCTGTAAAACTATGTTAATATGATGTGTGCCTATGGAAGCTAGTACCAAACAATTCCAACCAATACGATCATGACATCCATCCATCAATCAATCTGCAACTTTTAGCATCAAGGGTGATGTATGGAGCCACAGTCCTCTGCAGCTCCGTATCGCCCTGTATTCTAAACCCGCCCACTTTTTAGCGGCCCAATCAAATGCAAAGGATCACTGCACACCGCACACATTTTCCTTTTCACTGGGAACTGGAGAACTCTTACGGTGTGCGTTACTGACCAACTTACTGTACACACTTCATTACAGTAGAGACATGTTTGTACTGTAGTAATGAATGCTTACCGCAGTCTACCATCCATGTGAGCCACCGATCCTGGAGAGAGGGTGAGGATGTAGATCCCTGGGCACCCGTCACCAGTTGGAACACAGCACAGTCCAATACCCAGACCAACACCAGCCTCTAGGAAATGACACATGCATATATAAACATTTATAATGATATGATTCATTATAATACTGTCCATAATTAAAGGTTTCATTTCAAGAGATTTAGCATTTACACCCCAACAAACCACAGCACAGCCTTGGAAATCCGTCTTTTAGAGCTGAAACTAATAACTGCTTTCATTATTGATCGATCAATCAATCATTTAGTCTGTAAAATGCAAAAACGACAATGACTAATGGCTATCATAAGTTACCAGAGCCTGGAGTGATGTCTAAAAATGTAACACAATTGATTTTACCACTACATGCAGTTTACCAGCGTGAGGAGTGTGAGGAACTTTGTGAAGACTGACCTGTGCAACAGAAAGCCTGAATCACAACCTAGGAGTTTGGTGTTTTAAAGATGTGGTTATTTACCAGGACGGTATACCCAAAAGATGCTATTGGTTGTATTATGGCAAATGCAGGATCCATCTTTTGAGCGTTTTTGTAGAATCTTAAAATTGCTTATTTTTTCTGCAGTGGCAAAAACAAAACCTGTAATAATAAACCTACTAAATGTTCTTTCCATTGCCAGATGAAACCCAGAAAAGCAAGCAACTCTTCCCATCAGAATAACTGTAGGTGGAAACTTCAAATGGTAAAATACCAAAAAGATTTCAATGATTAATTAATGGGTGTTTCACAAGGTCATTGAAGGATCCTTCAACGGTTTTCAAACATGGTACGTCATTGAATCCCCTGAAGAACTGCTCTAATGTCAAGGATCCTTCCAATTCTACCAAGGACTGAATCCTTCGTTCAGAGGATTTTCAAGGATGCATGTGTTCTGTGCAACATCATAACAGAGGTATGAGAGAGCAGCGCTCTTCACAGGCTCCAAAGCTGAGATAACAGGGAGTTCACCCACTTTGTGTCTGCTATGTTTCTGTTTGCCAACATTAGCTAAATAATGATGAAGTTAGCGCTGTGTATGATTCATAGCAATGAGCTAAACTAAATAATATTGGTCTGGTTCAGCAGGTCAAAAACTAACTGACTGCCACTCTCAATAATCACTTATAGCGCCAACTTACTCAGTACATAGCTAGAAGATGGTGGCAAGCCAGTGGCACAGCAAAGGCTGTCTGTGACTTTGAGGGGTGCATATGAATTGTTTTGTATGTTTTGTAGGTTTATCAATTGTAATAATCATAGAAATCCTTGTTGATTTCATTCATTTTTTGCACAGGTTTTGAATCTGTGTATATTGTTTTGAGGATTCCAAAATGAATATTCCTACTAGAACTGATAATGTTCTGAATTATTCTAATTAAGTAAAAAAAAGAAGAAAAAAAAGGTCAATTTCTTCTGCACACCGGCACACTCGCTAGACTGTTCCACTGTGGGTTCTCTGAATGCTAGGAAAGAGTCTAGCCCCTGTAGCCCCCCCCCCCACACACCCTGTGTCTGACCTTTCTGCAGGATGATCTCCATCATGATGCGGTCTCTGGGCTTAGCAGGCTGCTGACCCGGGACACTCATGTTACTGCATGCGTTGTTCAGGTAGTCTCCGATGTCAGCACTGGCCCTGGCCATGCCTGTGGTGGAGCTGAGGGAGCGTGACCTGCATAGCTGAGCTACCTGCGACTGACCACACAGGGTCCCCACACGCAGGCTTGTCCTCACCACCACAGTCAGCAGGCCCTTTTTGATTTGCTGCACAAAGACAGTGAATATTTCAAATCAATGCTAAATGCTTGTAGAAATGTTTGCTGGCTGAGTTTGATCTCTGGGCCCCTATTAACCGCCCACCGAAAACTGAATATGATGTTTAATCTGTTAGAATACTTTTTCTGTGTCGTCCTAATAAACTCAGTCATTCTATTATACAGAAAGACATTTTAAAACAAAGTCATAGTTATTAGTTAATAACTATTAGTAAATCCTCTAGTGGGACACTTTTAAATAATGGCTTCAAGAAGGATTGGGCTGTCACATCTTAATCAGCCAACCAGGTGCTCAAGTAAGACAGGATCAAATGTGATCTATTTATTCAACCAACACATTTCAGCACAGAGCCATCATCAGGGTGGGTAAGAGAACGGGCAAAAGCACAGCTGATGACTCAATCTTTACCCAATGAGCACTATAAGCACTACACACAGCCGAAAGGATGCTCCAGCTCACGAAGAGAAGCGTCAATATAGAAGTGTCCAACAGCATGTCATAGAAACATTTTATGCTAGGAGCCCTTTTATAGTGGAATAGCAAAACTCACAACTCTCTTTATATTTTACTATCATTTTCTTTTCATGCATTCATTCATTCATTCATTTCCCTTCACTTGTTTGTTTGTTTTGTCTTTCCACTTGTCTGCCCTCCACATGCACGCACACACTCATGTACTGTTTATGTTAGTGGCAGAATAAGTATTTACATGCCATATTTAAGTCAAAGTAGTAATACCTCAGTGTAAAAATAGTCTGTTACAAGTAAAAGTTCTGCATTTAAATATTACTGGAGTAAAAGTATATACATATTATCAGAAAAATGTACTTGTAATGTAATGATCGAAAGTAAAAGTATTTATTATGCATGGTGGACCCTGTCAGCGTCAATGAGCATTTTAATGTTGGAGCTGATGGAGTTGGAGTGAATGTCAACTGCGTATTATCGTGTTCATTCAATCAATGCATAATACTTCATATTTCATAAAGATATTTTATCATTTGTGTTTTTGTGTAATGTATAATCTTAAAGGCTCCGCACAGCCATAGTTCACCCACGCATGTGTTTTCACTGATGAGTGCTGCTTGACTAACACCTCTGTGTTTTGGTTGTACAACTTCCCCTGTTATCATTCAAAGTCTGGAGTTTGGGAAGTCATCTTTTCCTTCATTAAACCAGAACGTGATCTTTACCTCAACTAAGTGCTGTGAGAGCCTAAAGATAATCCTAATACGTTTGATAATGCTATAATTGATTTGCCGATATTGTATAGCAAGATCTGATATGGCAGAAAACAATTGAAATACATTGTCAGTGAACATTTACGTCCACTATCAACATTATTGCCACTTGCCAGATACATTAACTAACAACATTTCCTCATAATGTAACAGTAATAGAAAACCACAGCCAGCTTGCATCATGTTTCCCTCAAAATGTATTTGCTGTTACGAATAAGTTGTATATAAACATCATTTTTAGGATACAAAGTTGGACATATTGTTTTGAAACTGCAACTTAAGTTAGTACAGGGGCCTTCTGTTGTACACATGCACACATATGTGGGTCTCTTGCAAAAATAGATACTTCTAGGCAATTGGTTTGGGGATGCAGTACATTAATATTGTATTAAAGTGCAAGAACTACAAATCCCTTTTAACTACAAAATACAGATAAAACCAGTACTGTTATCAGGATCATAATGTAGTAGTCTTACTTTGAACTTGTGAAGGGCTTCATCATGAGTCAGACCATGTAGTGACTCTCCATTCAGCTCCAGGATCTCATCACCTGTGCAGACGACAGAAAGATCTCAGAGCATTAAAGGCTGTGCATCTACACAGGGACATGTCAACTGACACTGTTTAGAAATCTGAAATGGATAAGACTTATGGAAAAGAGTTCCCATCATTTCTAATACATTTACACTCAGTAAGACTTCATTACTACATCATTGTTACTAATTCATTATTAAGAGATGACAAAATCTAAATCTTAACTGCTTTTATCTCCTGCTCCTTAACTTCCAAAACTTCCGCTTCAACAGAGATTTCAACAGCTTTTATTACACTTTCATTAACATGTGGTAAACTTTCAACTAGCATTTCTCAACAGACAGTTAAACTGCTTTTATTTACTACAGAAGTGACAGAAGCCCTGAGAGGGAAGAGAGAGAATCCATATTCTATGTTTGATCGAAATATGTTTCTCTCCTGTAATGATAACTTCAGAAAAAAATGTTCGCCAAGATAATCTTTCTAAATTCTAAGAATTAAGTGTTGTTTGTTGTAATACTAATCTTTGCCACAAGAGGCTGAAGAGCCTATCCCATGTTCTAAAGAGGACTAAAAGCGTTCATGTTTTCTACCAGGTGAGCTTTAATATCTCCGTGCACTCTCAGGGCTTCCGTATGTGTCTGATGAGTGAGAAGAAATAGGTGTTTTACAATAATTAGTAATAGAGAGCGCCCGGGTGAAAATTATAGAAAAAAATACTGTGACAAATTACACAAACACTAAAGTGAGTGTATGAGCTTCATGCACAGAATGTTGTCCCTTACCCTCCTGCAGCCTTCCATCAGCAGCTGCTGCCCCTCCAGGGAAAATGGTCTTGACATAGATCCCCATTGGTCCATACATACTGTCCCTCCCACCCACTATACTGAAGCCCAGACCCTGGAACAGCAGCAGACATATTATCAATAGCATCAGCAATGATTCACATCAACAACAATATAATCACAATCATAATTGGAATCATAATCATAAAAGTAGGAGTAGTTTCACATTTTGTCCAATACTGGTTCATAATTGATACCAGAAGTAAACTAAGACAAGAACACTGGTTGAGTGTGAAAGTTCATTCTTGACCTGGGAAACAGTAGTTTGTGTAGAGAATAGAAGATGATGGAGTTTGCTCACAATCACACTAAGAGGTGTGAAGACATTTAAGTTGTTGTGTGTATGAGCAACAGCGCTATCAACAACCTACAATGTAGACACATTGAACTGTAAAAAACTAGAATAAAAACCGGAGGCACTATTTGCATCCCATAAGAATGATTACAATCAAAGTGTATTGCTGAATTACAAATGAAGTGGGCCAGTTGATGAATCAAGAGCAATGAATAATCTGTAATAAATATTAATTACATGTAAAATTGCACATGAGGTATGGGACTTGGGTGGTGGGTAGGTAAAGTGTCTGCAGTTAACGGTTAAAGAGCATGAAAGAAGTATATTATACGTGTTGAAGAGCAGAAGGGAGAGAAGACCTGTGGGAACACTTGCTCACAATATGATAGAAAATTCAGAGATGAATTCAAGTTGTGGTGGTGGTGGAGGAGTCCTACCTTGCCATGGCCCTTCATCAGCACAACGTTACAGATTATGAAGGCTTGCATGTTGCTGCAGGAGTGTACTAGCTGGGCAGAGCTGAGAGAGCGGGAGGGACGCTGAACAGGCAGGAGAGGAGCAGCATGGAACACACAGACACACAGCAGGGGATTATGTCATGTTTTTTTTTTCTTTACTCCCAGGAAGTAGTAGTACTTTGACCTTTGACACCCAACCTTTGACCGACACCCCACTGTAAGAATCCCAGATGGTCCTTAATGAGTGAGAGAACCTCCGGGCGACCTGTCTTTAACCAGCAAACTGATCAGACTGACTGCTGTGAGTTTCCTGCTCCAGTCATGGCTGGATTAATAGTGGCTCCATATTACAGAAACTTCAGACTCCCCCTACTCTCCGTTTTTCTGGCCCCAGATTTGCTGTGGGTTCATTTTATAAAATACCAACTTCTTCAAGAACATGCAACAAGTAAGCAAAAAGAACAATACTTAAATCAGAGAAGGTCTGAGGACTCGCCTCAAGGACCTGATCATGCCATGTATTGTGCTCTAGCAGTGTACATTTCAAAATGGCTCAAACCAACTAACCACACTACACTAGGGGCTTTGGAGTTTTTCAGCCCTAGAGCATACAGCTCACGAAGTTGGTAGTGCTGTGAAGTGTCAAATTTACTGAAGTCAAGTCTGTCAAGATCAAGTCTGTCTCACTTTTCAGAACACATCAAACATCAGCAGGTGTGTCAGAAGAGTCTGGTGGAGAAGACGGTGTAACACTACAGAGTATAGACCGCAGAGAATAAAGCAACTTTTGCTTGTCAAATTGACTTATTGACCAAACTAAAATGGACAAATATATAAAACTTTGTTTGTGTCAGTTTAGGCATTGATTTTCTGCATCTGCCTTAACTTTAGCATTGCAGGCTTTCTCTTCTTTATAGGATGAGCACAAGTGAACAATATTTATGTGTGGTCGTCAGGTGTGATCTTTCATGCATTCTGTTTAGAATATTAAAAAAAATCTAATACTTGTGTCGTGGTATGAGGAAACTCCAGCTGCTGGGACAGAGACTTCCTGTTTCCATAGAAACCCCCATTCCCATGAGGATGAGGAGTATACAGCTCTGGGGTCTTCATGATGATGCTGTCCAGATCCCCAATCCAGTAAGGATGAACACCTGGTTATACACAGTGTCATCAGGATGAACATGAGGTTTAAAGTCAAGTCAATTATTAGTTAGAAAAGAAGCAAAAGCAGCATTTAGACATTGACATTGACCCAGTTCTTCATTATGATTCTGAAAAGAGTTCAGTTACCAGCCACGACGGTTATGCTGGTATTGTTTTCACCTTGTGAGTCTGTGTGCGTGTCGTCATGTTAAAATTCCTGTAGCAGGAACTACAAAAAAAAAACATTCCTGTCATCCCACTAAGCCCTCTGGGGCAAATTGCACTTAGTGCAAACGCTTAACGAATGCTTCAGGTCTTGTCCGGGCAGCATTCTACCATAGCAGGAACTGCCACAGGAACACAGGAACTCCTTGCAAGGTCATATCAACATGGCCTAGTTGAGCCGGGGGTCGAACCGCTCATCTGTTCTAACACTGAGCCACAGTCGCCACTGTCACTATCTGTATCTCTGGAAGGGACTACAGGTTGTTGTTGGAACACTGGTTTCAACAACCTGCTGCAATAACAACTCTGAAATCTGCCTCCTAATTTCAAATTATTGCATGTTGCATTGGAATATATGCAGCTCCCCACTGTTCACCTAGGAATACTGAGATTATTATAAATTCTTTGATATGTTATGCCTGCCTATTGCTGACATTGAGTACCAAATGCTTTTGTCCATGCCGTGATGAAAACAAAATCTTCCAACTGTGGTTGTGTGGCCATCAAAAGTGAAGCGATGTATTGGAGTGAATTACAGTGTATAGGGATTTCCTGATTACTGAGAGTACATGTTATACTTTGTGTGATGATAAATACACACTGACATTTACAATCCGTTTATTCCAATCTCACGCCGTTGGAACTGTAAGTGCATGCATTTCTCACAATTAGGACCACATTTCCCATAAGCGGTGTGGCTTCCTGGTTCTAAAAGGATATTACTCCCTGGCCTCACACCTCCCTGAAGACAATAAACATATTAGAACCAATTTTCCCATCACCGTCCCTCTCCTTCCATCATCTGTCTTTACTTTACACTCTAAAAGCTTCAGATGCAGAACAGCAGCCTCCTCCTATTCATGCAGCTTCCCACACAGATCCGACCGGCTCACGGTCGAGTTAATGGTTCTCACTCCTCTTGGTGGATGAGAGGTGATTGTTAATTGTACTTTTGAGTGAAAACTGTATGATACACACTGGTTGAGTTGGAGCGTGTCCTATTGCTGACCACCTGTCCTGGTGGGCTCTGCTCAGTCTCCTCTGCGTCCCAGCACCTCTCTTCATTCACCTCTGGGATGGAGAACTAAACACACACACGCACACACACATGGACACACACTATGTCAAAAAGACACATAAAAATGGCAATGTGAGATGAGATTATTTTTTAATGATGGCATACATATAAATATAACAGTGGTTCAGATTACACTCCTGGAGAAAGCTTAGTTTACCTGTAGGAAATTTAGGTTTAGAAGTGTGCTTTAAGATTTATAATTAGAAGTGTGTTTTAAGATTTATGATTAGAAGTGTGTTTTAAGATTTATAATTAGAAGTAGAATTTATAGCACCTTAGAGGTGGATAGTGAAATGTTAGCAAGTACTTGGGACATACCAATTATGCTTGTAAAGCTTGTGAAGTTTTTATAGAATGTATAGTATGTTTACAGTATGTTTACCATAGAAGTGTTAAGCCATAAAAGACAGTCATTGAATGTATTAAACTGTGAAGAATAGCCAAGGGTCAGACAGGGATTTCCAGACAGGCATTTATAGGGACACGCCGAAGGATACATCATACCCACGCTCAGGGTCCTCTAGCTGGCTGATGCGAGAAGGAGGAGCCAGCTGGATTTAGCCAATAGAAACTAAGACGGACATTTTGAGAACATTTACGAACTATATAAGGAAATTCAGAAAGAGGATTCTTCCTGTTCATCTCATTGTCATCCAGGTGGTGTGTATGACTGCTTTTCCGCGTGGATCATATTTCTATATCGATGCTGTAAATATATATCTATAGATTCTGTAAATAGTGTACTTCACTTTGCAATTGTTTTAGCTTCTGTAGTATTAAATACTTTTTGATTATAATTGAAACCGGCTGACTTTTTGGCAAGGCTGGACCACGTGCGGTCTCTTCCACAGTTTCGAGAGGTTCTTGAACCTAACATACCTTGAGGTGGTTGTTGTTGGCAAGGAGTTCTTCATCTGTGTATCCGGGCAATGACTGAGGATCAGATGGGGAAATGAGAGCCGGATGTGGTAGGTTTGCAGCCAGACTTTGTGAATGTAGAGTGTCCTCACATGTGGAAGTGTCCTGTATTACACAAAAACGCCAGTCATGAGGCATGTCAATGGCAGAATGTACCTTTAAAGTCTACTTCAGCCATTCATTACTTCCCATGGTCCTCTCTACACATTCTGCTTTTACAGCACAAAGCAGCACAGCTCTAAACCCTGCTATACTACAAAGATCAAGCCATCGGTAAGGAACAATTTGAAATGGCTGGACAATGCAGGAAAGACTGGTTAAGGGTCTTGGTTTGATGATGGTGGGTCGAGGAGAGGGATGAACGAGGTTTTCGTTGTGGTGGGAGCGCCTGGGTTTCAGCTCGTAGTCCCTAGTGTGGTAAGCAATCTAACTGTTAGACAACTGGAGTAAGTTTTAGCATGTCAGTCTGACCAAAAGAAACACCCGGCCAGGAGAACTTAGTAAAACGGAGGTGAAAGGGGTTAGACTCACATAAAGAGGTCTGTCCAGGTGATTGACTTAATGAGGCACAGGTGGTGGTATCAACACGGCATAGGTCATCAAATTAGTGGTGGAGAAGCGTGGTCTTGTTCCTGAACCTTAGTTATAATAACAACTTAATTTATCAGGACACTTTAACTGCACTCAGCTGATAGAAGGCAAGACAAGGCCATCGATCATTTACCTTTGAGTAGAAAAGAGAGTATCATATAAAGTAGTATGAAAGTGTAGTTATAGTAGTAGCAGTATTGTTTAATATAGAGCTATGTAATGTAGCTCATTAGTATGTCGATATTATATAGGGTATTATAGTAGTATAGTAAAGTAGAGTAAAGTGAAATTTAATATAATATTAGGAAGTATAGTAGAGTTGTACAGTATAGTATATGGTAATTTAGTATGATATAATATAAATCGGGAGATAGTATCATATAGTATGATAGAAGTAATATACTAGTATAGTAAAGTAGAGCAAAGTAAAGGTAGAGTAGAGTCCAGGCACGCAAAGGTCTATGGTTAACCCTTAAATGGGATCAAGAACAACAATTTACTGACTTCTATCACTATACAAGTTCTATGTGTTTACATGATAAATAAATGTATTGTTATCATTAAAACACATTTCAACTTGTCATCTGTATTTGTGAAAGTGGTGCGGTTGAAAGTGGACAGATGTGCAATCTGCTAATGTAAAGATGTAAAGCGAACTGCAGACTGACCAGCTGATGCCTCAGCTAAACTCAGGGCCGGAACAAAGTAAAGCCAGGGGACATAGAGATTAAGGAAACCAAAGGAGCAGAGAGGCAGTGGGACATTTCTGGCCAAAAAAAGTGTGGAGAAGCACCAGGCATAACAGGTAAGACCAGCCAATATAACCTGCTGTTGGGGGCTCTGTTTTATAGCTAGAGTGAAGATAATGGTACCATATGAAACTAGATGACCTAAAGTGGACGTGGATGAGGGGCTCAGTTACAAAAATGTTATCAACCTGTTCATAACACCTAATGACTGGTCGAGTAGTAGAGGAAAGTCAGGAGTAGTATAAGATAGTATAACTAGTAGAGTAAAGTGTAGTAACCAGTAGTATAGTACAGTATATAATGGAGTATTATAATATAGTATAACTAGTAGAGTAAAGTGTAGTAACTAGTAGTATAGTACAGTATAGAATGGAGTAGTATAAGATTGTATATAAGTAGTAGAGTAAAGTGTAGTAACCAGTAGTATAGTACAGTAT